CACTATACCTCTCATCTCGCTCCAGCTACCACATCATACCCTCTATCTCTAGTTCTCAACTTCGTCATAATTCTCTCTTCGATTCTCCCTCCTTCTTGATCGAGCAACTCTCGAGCCCCAAAATTGAAGTATTTGTTTTGAAATCTATGGTTTTGTTTCGAATCACCTTCAAATTTAAATTTGTAGGGTTTTGTTTTGTTTTTTCTATTTTTTTGGGTTGATTTCTAGGGTTTGTCAAAATTGGATTTCTTTGATTGTTTTTGGATTTGGATTTATGAATTTGGAGAGACTGATTTGAAAAACAGATTTGGATTTCTAGGGTTTTCATCTTTTTCTCGATTCAGGTTATGGGTTTTCATATTTTTCTTTCAATGTTTCTATGGTTTTCTTTTCTAGGTTGATTCGGATTTAGACTATACTAGAAAGTTGTGCCCGCGCGTTGCTGCGGGATTAAAAATTGTAAGAAAGATTATGTTTGAAAGATGTAAAGACTATGAGATAAAAGATTAATATTATTTACATTGAAAAGGAAATGATGATTTTTACATATGAAAGATTTTATATATGCAGCAGACACACCAAACGTTGCAGAAGTTGTATTGTATTATCTAGAATAACAAAATATGAGAAAAGTAGTTTACTGCAACGCTAAAAGGTTTTCTCCAGTACTGTTGATTGTTGAGGAAGCAGCCTAGGCAAGGAAAGAAAAATATTGAAACACATGAAATGAATTTATATGACAGTAGAATTATACCGTGAAGAAAATAAGGATTTTGTATTGTTACCTTTTTCAGCAATTTTACAGCACCTCATCAAACTGTTGTGTGTTTGCCTTTGTGATTTGTTTTGGCTCACTATCTTAGATGCATAACAAAGATTGAAAAAGACAAATTTATATTAGATAAAAGATGGTTGAAAAATAGGAGAAAATATTGTTTGGTAGGGTGTAAATAGAAAGTTATATACCTGTCGATCAATTGCGGTAGCAAAAGTTGTGTAGCTGAAGTTGCAATGTAAACGTTCTATATCAAATACGGTTCATACATCTGTCTTTGCAATTTAAACTAAATGGTGTAATACTTAATTGAATGAAGAAAGATATATATATATATATATATAAAGTAATTCAATTTCTTCAAAAAAGGAAAAGCTAAAAAAATAGTGTTTTAAGTTCCCAATTCTCACCGTAATGAACATAACGATATCGTTTTATATGTTCAAAAAATAACAACATTGAAAAAACTCATTACTAAAAACCTCAATTTGACAAAAACATGTCAGCTTTTATCACATCCAATTAAAGTAGTGCAACAGCACACTGACACACTTAAACATGGAAACTTATATACTATTTGACAATATAAAATCATGCAAACTCTAAACATTAGAAATGGATTCTAGAAAGTAAAAATATTTCCTTATTTATGTTAAAAAAATTAACAAATTTTCAGTGAACGGTCACAGAAAAGGTATAGAAAGTAACCTAATTTCTTAATTCCAAAAAGGGAAAAGATAAAAAAAAAAAAAGGGTACTAAGTTTTTAGTTCTTCCCATAACCAAAATTATCATATTGTTTTAATTTGAACTCGGGTTGATTTCCGTCATCAGCATTAATAGAACCAGTAATTTCAATCTATGTAAGCAAATGATTAAATTCGACTCAATATGACCAATTTTCAATTCAACTAAACCAAAAAAGTAACCACAATCAAACTAACCTCTCCGTCCCATATGGAGTAAAAAACCTTGTCTCCTGTTTTGTCCTTCGCAAAGAATGAACTATTCACTCTGTATATACAAAAAGAACACAGGATAATTTTGAGCACCGTTTCAAAAACCATACATAGACAATATTATATAATAAAATCCAAATATAACACAACGAATGAACCTTAATGTAAGGTACAACAGCCTCCGATTACTTCTCATTTGTCCTTGCAATGAATATGTCCAAAAGACAAATCACCATTGAAAGAGGAATCATTCTAGTGCATTAATTATTGCATATTCAAATCTAAAAGGTTTACTCTCCAGAAAATTACTCAACATACTTACTTTAAAATAATCGCAAAAAATCTTTAAAAGAATCCATACTATTAGATTATATCATCGCATTTAATGAATTGTTATAGTTGCATTCCCCCGTTAATATAACCAAAGCAAGTTCTTATAGTTACCTATTTGTCTTTTTCATAAAAATGAATTCTTTTAAAGTTTACACACCAAACATTTTGTATGCATATGAATCATTTGGCTTCTAACAGATTAGTGATTAAAAATCTGGAAAACAAACACTTCCGAAATTTCAAACAAAAACATCATTGCTTTAATCACACATGCGCTCGCGCACACACACACGCCTATTTTGAATTCATAAAAGAGAACAAAAATTATACATGCTTCAAGATAGCCATAATTTGAATTATAACCTACAACTTTAGAGGCCCTTAAAAGGCAAAATCAAGCCAAGCCTACAATTCCGCCATTAACTCGAAGAATGATTATCCATTTTTAAATAAGTGTGCAATCCAATCAAACCCAAGAACCATCCAAAGCAATATCACACAAAATTAACAGATGTCCAAGCATTGAAAGAATCACCAAAAAGACATGCACTTTGAAAAAGAAGAAAACTTACAGGGCTTTTATGTCTTGTGAGATGTCCAACTGAAGTACTTAATAGTAAAATATTATTATCATCATTGATAACTCTCTTCTATTACATGTTATGAGCTTTCCATTTATTACCCATTTCTTGGGAAAATTTACCCAATTATACTCGAAAGCATGAGACATGATAGTAAAACACAAAAACAAATTCAGAAGATTCAGAACTATTAAAAATTTCAACATTTCTTAACAACTATTTAGTAAGGATCAAAAAATCATGCCATAAAATAAATTTGAGGAAAAAAAAAAAAAAAAACTAAATTTAAGTTGAACAAAGGTGACACTTGCTTACCCAGAAATTCAAACCAAATCCCCAAAAATTTAAGTTGAATAGATGATAGCAACGAACTCTGATCTCCATCTCCTTCCAAATCCAAAAGAACCAAAACCCATACAGAAAATCTCAACGATGGGCGAGAATTCCTGAGAAAAATTCAAAAAATTTAGACAAAGATGGTGCTTTTTGCTGAAAAAAAAAAAAGGAAAAAAATCGATCTTTTCAAATAGAATCGAACTTGAGTGTACGTAACGATATGAACGTTTTGAGGAATCGTGGAAAGAAAGCCGAGGTATGGGTGAATTGGTGGTAGTAACGGTGGAAAGGGATCTGAAGCCTGAAAATTTCATATCTAAAATCACACCTTAGCCTGCAAGTCGAATCAAAACCGTGGAATTTCAAAAGCACTCACCTTAAACACAGAGGTCTTCGCAGGCTTCAAAGAAAAGTCATAAATTCGAAAAACCCGATCTCCTGAAACTGAAAGCAAAACCAAATTAACCATCATCACCCAGAATCCGAAGCTACAAACAAAATCCCCAAAATCACAACCAAAAAATTTGAACAAAAAACCCATTTATAAATCCAAATTTACACTCCCAAGCACATAACATTCAAAGCAGAGAATTACCCACACCAAATCCGCAGCAGGAAACACGATCTTTTATGGGCTTCAAATTTTCTTTAAATCGAGACCACTATTTTTCAGCAAGAGAGCACTGCCATCTGTAGCCCCCGACAAAAAGATCCGAACAAATTTCACTAACTTGAGTGTTTTCTGGAAGAAAGGAGACACAGAGAGAACTGGAGATCGGAGAGCGAGGCAAAGAGAGGTTCTCTGGAGATCGGAGAGCGAGCGAGGCAAACAGAGGTTCTCTGGAGATCGGAGGCAAAGAGAGGTTTGAGAGAAACAAAAGGGAGTGTGTGTGTGTGTGTGAGAGAGAGAGAGAGAGAGAGAGAGAGAGAGAAACGGAAAGAAGAATCCAGAAGAGAAAAAACGTTGCGGTTCGCGAAGTACACGCGTGGCAAAGGAGGGCAAAATGGACTTTATACTGTAGCAAAACGTAAACAGTACAGGAAGTAAGGAAGAAACCGAGGGCATTTCTGGCATTTCACTGTTAATGAACAGTGTTCATCAACTGAGTTTTAGTATATATAATAATATGTAATGGGCCTAATGAATAGAAATAACAACAGATGGTCAAATTGATTATAGCAGAAACTCAATAGCTTAAGAGTCACATCAAAATTGAAGAGGTTGATATTACGAAGAAGGCAAAAGTATGATTTCCCCTTCACATTGATTGCAGAGAAATATGCGAGCAACTTGTTTGCTGTTCAAAATTCGAACACAAAGCATATGCTGCATAACTTCACAAATGTCACACAACACTATTCTGCCTCATCGTCTTCCTTAGCTCCACAGGGACAATCACCGACATAGTTAATCGATTGAAACCGAATCATCTCTTACGTCATATGCCTCTTTTGTTGTTGTTGCTTTTCTTACGTGTTCCACCAATTCGTCTTCAATTGTAGTATTCAGGTTGAAGACTGAGGTTTTAAAAGACGCTAGGCACTAGTCGAGCGGCGGGTTGGAGCCTAGCACCTAGGCGACTAGGTGGGGTCTAAGCGGGCTTAATAGATTTAAGTAAATCTATTATATTTCATGTAAATAATGTCTGTTTACATATAAAATATATATAATTTCATCATAAACTACAAAATAGAATAACATATATATTATGAAGTATTGAAACATAATGAAAACATGAGAAATAAGCATGTGTGCTCATTTAAGTATTCAACAAGTCTCTTACAATTTATTGAAAAAATTAAATGCAAAGTAGACTCTCTCAAGCTTCTAGAGGCAAACTTTACAGCAGATTCTCACGCACTCCTTACTTGGTTACACAACGCCACACATATATTAGTCATGATTTTGCGGACTTTTCTACTGCCCGCCAAGTTGGGCTTTGCATAATAGCCACACATCTTTACTAGCGTCTTTGTAAAAAAAAAAAAAACTAGTTTACATATTAACTTTAGACTAGTTTACATATTAACTTAATACAAAAAAAAAAAAACTAGTTTACATATTAACTTAAGACTAGGGAGAGAGTAGGGAGTAGTATTAGTAGCAAAGGAGTCTGGTCAAGTAAATCAACAGCAGAGGAGCGAGAGCCAATATGGAGAAGGATGGTGGTGATCGTGATAATGCTGCACTAGTAACGCTGATTGTGATGTTGCTGATAATGGCAATGGGTGTGTCCTCTGCTTCTTCAGCTTCAGCTGCAGCAGCTTCTTCGCAACTCAGACGAAATCTGCTTGCCAACGGACTTGGACTCACTCCTCCCATGGGGTAGAATTTTACTTTTTTACAAACTACATACAGTGTATATTTTTTGCCTCCTTTGATCGATGGCCAGCCACAGCCAGTCAGATCAGATTCTAAAATATATACATTTCAGCGAACTTTTGAAATGGGAAGCCATTTATTTTTCTTCTGCTGTTTTTACACGCTTGGAGTATGTATGAATCTATGATATTATAACATGAGACCGTTTGCGTTCAAATTCCTAATATTATATATCAACACGTGCCGCAACCCACAAATGCAATTTTATTCAAATATATGATAGACATTCCCTAATCCTCTCAAAGCAAGAAACTTTATTGGTTTGGAGTAGAGGTGGCGTTGGGAGTGTGCAAAAGGTGTAGTGATACAAGGTTCCAAATTCATAAGGGTTCCAAAATTTTTGTTCTGCCTATATATTACATATGAGTAAATTTTCTAATAAAAATGTTTTTAACTGAATGATTTTTTTTTAGCAATATCATATGATGTTATCTATATTATAATTGATTAAGTGGAGCTTCCACTTAAACTTAATATGTTAACTTCCTCTTTTCTCTATCAATAAAAAAAACTTGTCTATTACTTTCTTCCATTTTTCTTTAGTAATAAAAAAATTAACTTGTGTACTACTTGCTTCCACAAATACAATCGTATTTTCGTATATCTTTGTCAGTCGTGCTTTATTTTTTCATGGATGAACCATAAATCATGATTTCATTACAATTAAAGATTATTTAATTAGTAATAGTGAGATGCTGATTTCAATTAGATTTGAATATTGATTGTTGAGTTTTGTACGAACATATTGTCAATTTTTTTTTTTTTAAATAAGAAGAATCTTTTTATTAAATTAGCTTCACAATATCAGAAACGGCCCTAATTCGGGGTCGCCCTTTTACTTGCCAGCTTGTGCGATTAAGATTAAATGATTAGTCAGCTCCTTATTTTCTTTTTTGCTAAATTAGGTGGAACAGTTGGAATCACTTCCACTGCAAAATCGATGAGAAAGTCATCAAAGCAACCGGTAACTCGAGCAACTTAACTTATCCCTAATCATCAAAGCCATGTTTTGTTTCCAAAGCTTGCTTAATTTCTCTGGTTGGTTTGACAGCCGATGCACTGGTTTCCACCGGTCTCTCTAAACTTGGATATACCTATGTTAACATAGGTATTCTTCTTCTTTTCTTTTCTGTCGTTTCGTTTTTTCCGGTAGCTTTGTACCAATTTTAATAAAAGCTCATGCTATTTGTATCTATAGATGATTGCTGGGCCGAAATTTCTCGTGACCACGAGGTATTTGTTTCTATTTTTAATCACAAACAAGCTCGGCTGTAAAAGTACTGAACATGCATGAGATTTCATACGCAGGGCAATCTAGCGCCAAATAAATCAACATTTCCATCGGGCATTAAAGCTCTTGCGGATTATGTTCACAGCAAGGGTCTTAAGCTAGGAATTTACGCAGATGCAGGGTAACACGACTAAGTCTCATACGCTCCATCCCAGTACAAATATATGCTGCATGTATTATGTATAGTTGCTCTTGAATGTCGATATATACCTAAATTACAACTAAACAAATTGTACATTCACTTGTACTTTGCAGGTACTTCACTTGCAGCAAAACCATGCCCGGTTCACTTGGCCACGAAGAACAAGATGCCAAAACATTTGCTGCTTGGGTACGATATACATGTTGTAACTCAATCAAAGGGAGTTATAACGTCTCTATTGATGATATGTTGTCACAGAGTCTTGAAATGCTCATGCACTTTCTTTGCAGGGAATTGATTACTTGAAGTATGATAACTGTTATAACGATGAATCCAAGCCAACTGTTAGGTAAAATACCTCGAATATCTATGATGTTACCGCACAAAGTGGTTTTCTGCCTGCACTTAATTTTCCCGGGGTAAGGTCTCCAAATGATCACTTTTCTGTAAATATTTCATCTCTTCTTTTAGGTTCCCTGTAATGACCCGAGCTCTGATGAAAGCAGGTCGTCCCATATTCTATTCGCTTTGTGAATGGTAACGGTCATGTTTGCTTAAACTGAAAAAACCATGTATTTTGTTTTTCTTAGTAATAGGCCTAATTTTTTTAATTTTTTGTTCTATTTCGTCTTTTAGGGGAGATATGCACCCTGCTACATGGGGTGCTAATGTAGGAAACAGCTGGAGAACTACTAGTGACATTTCTGATACATGGGAAAGGTAGAAAGTGCTTCCGTTAGCTCTCAACTTGGTCTCATGTTTTTGGGGTCTCACATAATACCTTTTTCTGGCGTTTTGCTTGGCAGTATGGTCTCTAGAGCAGACATGAATGAAGTTTATGCTGAATTTGCCAGACCTGGTGGCTGGAATGGTGAATATTCATTTCGGCTAATGGAAGGGTTTTACATGTACATTCATTTCGAGAGTTGATGTTTCACTAAGAGATTAATCTTATTTATCTGCTGAAAATTTGAACAGATCCCGACATGTTAGAAGTGGGGAATGGAGGAATGACAAAAAATGAATATATAGTCCATTTTAGCATGTGGGCCATTTCTAAGGTACGATAAACGTTTAATTTGCTAGATGCTCTTCCTTATATGAAATCTGCAATTTTAGTTCATCTGTTTGGTTACACTACACATGAACTGTGCTGCAGGCTCCCCTTCTTCTCGGTTGCAACGTGGGAAATATCACGAAAGAGACCATGGAGATCATTGCAAATAAAGAGGTTATCTCCGTAAACCAAGGTAACTACAAGCTTTAGACGCACACCAACTTTCCTTCCTAATGACTGAACAATCAAGTTTGCACAAATACAACTTGGAATTGCGATTTTTGTGATGGTTAACCGTAACAGATCGACTCGGTGTTCAAGCTAAAAAGGTCAGATTACAAGGGAATCGTGAGGTAAAAATGAAAATGTCATCAAATCTCTTGTGATACATACACGAAAGAATTCTGTCATTGTTTAAGTGTAACTCTGAAATTTGAACGAACAGGTTTGGGCAGGGCCCCTCTCAGGATACAGAGTAGCTTTACTCCTTGTCAACCGAAGCCGTAAGCGAGATTCGTTCACAGCTCACTGGGACGACATTGGGATCCCCACAAACAGTGTTGTTGAAGCAAGAGACCTCTGGGAGGTACAATAATCCTTGTATAATCAATCAATCATCTGTTCTTTCTCAGTTCTTGCTACTTTTTGTATTTAGCTGTATTGTAATTTGTGAGAGATACTGATATCTTGCTTGCTGTCTTGCAGCACAAGACATTGAAGGCACGATTTGTTGGAAACTTGACAGCCACGGTGGACTCTCATGCATGTAAAATGTATGTTCTGAAGCCGGTGGGTTAGGTAGCCTAGTTTGGTATTGCTTTGCTTTGAAAAAAACTGTTTTTGCAATGCTTCATAAAATAAAGTAGTAATGTGTTTGATAAACTATAATTGTAAAAGTGCTTCTAGCAAAAAGAAAAACATTGTTATAGCGTTTGGTAAACTTTAATATAAAACAACTGTACTTGGGTAAAATGACATAATATTAGATGTGTATTATTTATTTGGCAAATAATGGTCAATTATATATTTGAAAAAAAATATTTATATTTTATTTAAACTCATCTCAAATATTAATTAGTACAACAAATTACTCAAAATATTGGAATATTTCAAACTAAATATTTAGGATTCTTTAGCACAACATTGTTGTTGCACTTAGAACTATCATCAACCAACTGATATATACTTCAAATAGAATAACAATCCAAAAGTTGTTTAATACAAAAGTAGTCGCATTCATCAAACTTCGGCTATGCTACTCCTTAATGCTTCTATTTCATGTGATCTTTCAGCTTAATAATTCTGGTGTGTTTCATTATCATTACTATCACTCTCTTCACAAAAGTCATTAGGGTCATGAAAATGACGATCACGTTCAGAATGTCTCCCTATGTCCCTTAAAATTGCCCATTTTTTCTTCCAATACCCTAAATGTCCTTTCAATGATACTCCTAAGAGAAAAATACATATGGTTGAATACCTCTTTATGACCCATTAGTTGGGCACTCCTACGAAACTTCAGGGAGATGATATTTTTCACCTTTATGTGGTCTCAAATATCCTCTCATTTGTGGATACCTCGTATTTACCAAATAATATTTTCTTGCAAATTAAAAAATTTGTTTGCAAATGTAATAATTATATAAAGTAAGTATATAAAATCTTATAACAAGTACGAAAATTCAGGCAAAATAACAAGTAACAAGTAAAAACAAATGATATTATAACAACCAATATACTAAAGGATCAACAACAAACATATATTTGGTGTCGAGGATCCTCTTCAACAAGTTTCTACTCTTTAATATGCTCGTAATTACTATTTCGATACAATAATATGCTCGCAATTACTATTTCGAGACAATAATTAATCAGTAAGACGCACCAGTGTTTTGAGGTCCACAATACTAATTTAATGGAGGATCGGAGTTCTTGTTTAGTGGGTGATGGGGCCCAAGGCCCGAACAGAAAAAGCTTAACTTTGAGGTCCACAATCCTAATTTAATGAATCCGGATCCTCTCCTGATTTTTTTGGGGAGAATTGTGGAAATTATGAATCGTGTTCATTTATTGTAAATTGTACAGTTAAAAATTATTTTAAATATTTTTATTTAAAATTAAAGGTAAACAGTACTTAACAAAAGCTGACCGCACAATGTACGATGAACGAACACTATTAACAAATTCTTCGAATCCTCACCAAAAAATTCGAAGAGCATCTTGTTACGGTCTAGTGGTATTTCTCTTAGTGAGAGATCTTAGGTTTGAATCTCATAAATGACGAATTTGATACCAAATTAAGCTGCCCATGACTTAGCCGAATCCTTCCCTCCTTAATATAAAAATATCCTTCAGAAAAAAAAAAAAAAAAAAAAAAAAAAGGACAACTGATCAGTAAGACTTTAGTACGGTCATCTGGATCATGTAACTCGTCTGTCTTCACGCCTGAACCGCCCAATCCCCTTTTATTCTGTCCCACCACGTCGTCTGTAGTTCTTATCCTTTCCGTAGTGCGGTAGCTTTACTGAATATTTTCTCCAAGGCGATGAATGATGAAATGCGTTTGTACACAAATTGAACAAAAGAGGAAAACATAAGAAGAAGCTCAAATGATGAATCCTTCTGCAATTAACATATACTTCAATTTACTCGACTGATCTGTATCGTTATTCTCGATCAATTTCGATCCTATTCAATGTAGACTACATGAACATCTTCTAAAATAAAAATGATATAAATTAATCACATACATAAAATTAAATCACCACAAATTTGATAGGATCAGACATCGGATTTGAGGGAAATGCAGGAAGTTACAAAGAATAATTGCAGGAAATTAAACAAGGAAAGTAAATAAAAATATTTTTATTCATTTCATTCATAGGTCTCTTTACATCAGAAAATGAGTTTAAACATATTCAAGGATAGTAGGTTTGAGGTGGACAATTGGTCATAGCAGAAGTCCAATAACTTAGGGTCGCATACAAATTGTAGAGGATGATTCTATGGAGAAGGCAAAAGTATGATTTCTCTTTCACATCGATTGCAGAGAAATATGTGAGGAACTTGTTCGCTGTCCGGAATTCGAACACAAAGCGTATGCTGCCTAACTTCACAAATGTCACACGACACCATTCTTTCCCCATCGTCTTCCTTAGCTCCACAGGGACAGTCCACGACATAGTAAGCTGCTCCACATTCATATATCTCACGAACTCCACCCATCCTTTTGCTACTCCTACCCTCGAGCACAATCTTTTGACCCACCTCAACCATGCCAAAAACCAAATCTTTCCCCTTCGCATTGTTGAGATTTGCAATTGAGTCCACCACAAATCCCCTCAGCCCCCAGTAGATCTCCTTGAAATTCCTCTCTACTTCTTGCTTCAAATCATCAAATGTAGCATTGTTTTTTAACGTCACACACTCGTAGGGTTGCAATATTATTGCATTGTTGTTGTTTCTAATACTCTTACTATTATCGTCGTCATCTTCTTCGGAATTGTTTTTTAGTGATATTGTGCAGTAGATGTTTGATTCTCCATCCATGCTTAAATATTCAACTTTCATAGGCACCACCTCGCTGCAGTAATCCTTCACGAGGTACTTGGAATTGAGAATGATCCGTACAGCCATCGGTATGGCCGAAAATATCCCGGCATTGCTCATCTTTTGGTCCTTGAGAACGTACTTGTACATGTAGAACATATCCTTCATTAACCGAAACTTCGAAAGCTTGTACCAGGCAGCCTTCGCCTTCGGACTGTGCATGAGCAAACCGTCCCGATGATTAGGGGAAGCATGATTGGAGATGTCTTCTAAGCAGTACTCAAGAACTTTAGTCACTGGATTCAACGTGCGACGAACTAAGTAATTTCCTACAATGTGGTTTCCTAGTGACTTCAACACAAAATCTAGCAACCCTGTGTCGCCTACATAGGCACGGGCGGCATCCCTAACTTCTTGTCTAGATACCCACCTAAACTGAGCCCTCTTCAAGGCCTCAACAATCACCCGAGTCGCCATCTCAACTCTTTTCGAAGACCATCTACAATTCGTTTCCATCAGCATTCCCGGGTTATAGATTGGATCAATAAAAGGATTTTGATGATCTGTGGGTGGCAATCGCGACTTGAGCTCTAGCATGAAATGGAAAAGGTCGCCAAGAGTGACCAAAGAATTGTCAGACAATGTGTGATACCTTGAGAAGATGAGAGCGATTTCATGGTTGGATGTGCCGAGATGGTGAATGAGCAAGCATAAGGGCATGCCTTGTAGAGCTTCAATGGCTTTTTGGTACATTTGTTGCGTGACACAAAATGTTCCACGGCCAAATTTGTAACCCCAACGACCAAACCATGGCTCGCTGTATGCTACTCCGTGGATTAGCCTCAACTCCATCCCTCTTTTATGTGACACATCATTCAAACTCACTTTCCTATATCAAACAGATGTAATAAACTGTTTCATGCATGAGATTTTGTTATAAAACTATTTTGTATAATGAAAATACGTTAATCACAAATTTCCTTAGCAAACTACGAGCACATATATAGTTTAACTTCACTTCATATTACCTTGCACGCAATCCAGTGCATAAGCGATCCCAAAAGTCGAGGATCTGGTGACCAGCCAAGTCGTAACCGGTTTCCACCCCGTTGACACACAGCAAATGCCCGAAACCGTTAGAGTGAAAGACACCATGCATCATATGACCCTCTAATTCCACTAAATTATTCGACGACTTACCCTCATTACGACTATTTGTTGTCGTGGGGTTCAGTAATAGGTGGCCTCCATCGGAGGCGTTGCCACCTTTGCCATTCCAGCAAGCTGCCACCATTGTGTCCGAGGAAGGCAACACAAAATGATACTTCTTATTGCACACCATATGCTGCCCCCAGCCTGAGCTATGTATATATAATCGAAATTAGTCGTCATATAGCTAGAACATATCTGTGATCTTAAGCAAATTCATTATGTGTACATGGCCTTTATTAGCACACGAAAGACCTCAAGTATCAGTAAATACGGTTCAAATAGCAGTTTGTACTTTCAAATTAGAAATGAAAATAAACTTAGAGATGGGGGGAGTAATTGAAACTTTACCAACGTATTGGCATTGCTTGCAATGGTGATTGAGCGATGCCTCGATAGGTTCTTCGATGACAAATAACACGACATGGCCAGGAGCATGGCGATGAACTTGGAGCTGAAACGACCAGCATTGCATGCCATGGCCAGCTAGGTTACCCTCAACATGCCCATATTCAAGGAGAGACTTGACATTTTCCCTAAATGACGATCCTACCAACACTACCGGGTACCCGTTTTCGCCAAAACTCCTGAACCTAAATACCCTCTCACCTCTCTTCCTCTTCTTGCACCCACTTAACTGACTCAAGTCCAAATGGGACGCCATTAATGTGTTAATCGGGATTAGGCAACAAAGGAAGATTATATAGGCATGTATAGATGAAAACGAAGAAGAAGCATGATCAAACAATCTCATTAACATATTATTAGGAGGTCATTGATCGTTTAAGGAGGTAATTAAACTAGTTTAGATATACTGCAGCTAGATCATGCACAAGATTTGTGCCTGGAAATAAAATTGGGGAATGGAGCAACCCAAAAGAGCCCTTTCATCAGCTTATCTGCATGATATATTTTCAAAATTTGGGTTGCCAATTCTGTCGCGGCAACATATGGAAGAAAAGGAGGTTTGGAGTAAATTATAGGAAGCATGCTTTTGACAATGCATAGTGTTTCACCACTGGTGTATGACTTTATGTTCCGCCATTTTCTACGCTCACCTGGGATTTATGCATGTAATTGATATATATATTATATGTAAATATATATTTCTTAGAAGTAGGGATATGGCCAAAACATAAACGCAAAATTTCTTGCCCAACTACCCTTCTTGGGGCAATTATAAAGTTTTAACTAATTTATAGGCTTTTTTTCGATGTACTTCAACTTCAATCACGTGATGTTATTATTTCAGTTAAATTATATTGCTCACAATTATTATAATATGTACAATAATACATCATGTGATTTATTGTTTTCAGCGCCTGTAATTTATCGCAAGAGAGATGCCTGTTTCTTTTCCGTTACTTGAAAACATGCAGAGAGAACTTTGATTGATTTCCATAGTTTGAATAGCTAGGCAACATTTGACAAGGCATGCCGGTTAGACCTACATCAACAAAGATGTTATCAAGGTGCTTTGAGTTCAGCTTCTCGTAATCATAGCCTTCAGGGTTGTTCAGGCCCAATCATATTTGGAGTTTGGTCTTGTGTGGTTTTGGGCTTTCATTTTAGCTTAAGTTTTTAGGCCTAATTTTTTTCCTTCTTTTTAATAGGAATTTTCATCATCTTATTAATTTTTATTTTGTTTATCAAACAATAGATTTTGTTAGATTAGATGTAATGTCACATCCCGGCTCGGGTGGGACGACTTCCCGGGCCCGCTCCACCACCGTAGCACGATATTGTCCGCTTTGGGCCCCCACCACGCCCTCACGGTTTTGTTTTTGGGAACTCACACGAGAACTTCCCGATGGGTCACCCATCCTAGGAATGCTTTCGTGCGCTACTCACTTAACTTCGGAGTTCCCATGGAACCCGAAGCCAGTGAGCTCCCAAAAGGCCTCGTGCTAGGTAAGGATGGGAATATACATTTAAGGATCATTCCCCCTCGGCGATGTGGGATGTCACAATCCACCCCCCTTAGGGGCCCGACGTCCTCGTCGGCACACACGCGGGCAGGGTTAGACTCTGATACCAAATGTCACATCCCGGCCCGGGCGGCACCACTTCCCGGGCCCGCTCCACCACCATAGCACGATATTGTCCGCTTTGGGCCCCGACCACGCCCTCACGGTTTTGTTTTTGGGAACTCACACGAGAACTTCCTGATGGGTCACCCATCCTGGGAATGCTCTCATGCGCTACTCGCTTAACTTCGGAGTTCCCATGGAACCCGAAGCCAGTGAGCTCCCAAAAGGCCTCGTGCTAGGTAAGGATGAGAATATACATTTAAGGATCATTCCCCCTCGGCGATGTGGGATGTCACATGTAAGATTAGCCAATTCAAACCCACATCGTTATGCAATAGTTCAACTCCTTTTCACCAATGTCAGTAAAGAGTCATTTGCATCATCTTATTATTTATAATTTTATACTATTTAGGAGAAAAATATGTCTATAAATTTAAAACAATTTGATAAGTTCTAAACAAATTGGGGTAGTGCACATCTAAGTTTAATTAAATTGTTTAGAACAATGTTGCTATGTATAAAATATAACATATATATTTGATTCAAAATCTAATTCAATCTTTGCATACAACATACAAAAAGAAATGACTTGATTAGTTAACCAAAAATCTTACTCTTACCATCTATTTATATCATTTCTCTAATCAAGATGGAACTCACAGACATTGGCGGGTCCTACCTGTATTAGATAGATGATACAAATAGATGATAAGGACAAATTTACACTTAATTAACACATTTGAGTACGTTTACATACTAATGATGAGTATGATGTAAATTGGTAACAGTCCGGATTTTTTTTTTTTTTAGTCTTTACTAACACATCGAAATAAAATTTAAAAAAATGGATCACACATTATCAATAATCTTATACCATGTTTTGATGATCTCATCCTTGGTAAGCAAATATTAAACAAACCAAGTGTTTTTTCTAACTCACGACTCCTCCGATTCTAGATAAATCTTACATTAGAGTAGGTAATTAGTTTCCACACCCAACTTTTTCTTGATTTGAGTTTCCATCAAACTTTTTCCATATGTATGTCAACATTCCAAAGCTATGGATGTACCAAAATAAAGTTTGAATTTTTTATATATATAATTTTAAAAGCCTCAATTATTATTTTGTTAGATTCAAAAATATTTTGTCATCTACTCGCAGTTTGTAGGGTGTGCCCTGTAGGCCTAGAACATAATTCAACGTTCTCATACACCCAATCACTACAATGTCTTCGCTTAATTATAAGTACATGCTGTTATTCTCAGGGTTTTGATACTCAGAATATTTCTTCTTTGCGGAACCGACCTATACCTCGCAAGGCACCTAGTATTCTTCCTGTACTTTGGTCTCCTTTTTGGTTTCCTCAGATTAAGCTTAATACATATAGTTTGTCTAAAGGAAATCCTGATCCTGCTACTTGTGAAAGAGTTTTCAAGAATTGCCATGGTCTTTTTCTTGGAGGTTTCTCTCAATGAATTGGTCATCACAACTTTTTTTTTTTTTTTTTTTTTAGAATTCTTAGCAATTATTATTGGTATAGAGTTTGCATATCAATGAGATTAACATTGTCTTTGGTTAGAAAGTAATAGTTTTAGTATTATTTTTACTCTTCAATCGTCTGATTTTGATCCTCCTTGACCTCTTCGTACGCAATGATCTATTTGTTTAGATTGCACTTGGAAAATGATTTTCTATGCATCTCACATATATTGGGAAGGAAATCTTGTTGCAAACAATTTTGCTAACATGGGCTTGTCTTCTCCATCTTTAACATGACATGATTGTTGTTTTGTTTTTAGACTACGTTGGCTTGTCTGGCTACCGCTTCTCAAATTAATGTGCATCTCAGCATCCAGGTGTGTCTCACTTTCTTGTTGTTTTCCTAACTTTATGGTGTTATTCAATTTGTTTTGTAGGTTTAGACCTTTAGGTTTGGTTTTAGGGCTAGATTCCATGTCCCCCTATTTTCTTTGTATCATTCTTGTTTTTGTTTTTAGAAGGGTAAAATGTATGTCCCCTTTTTTATGTATTCTTTTTTGTTGCATTTGTGTTATAAGGGGTAAGGTTTATGTTCCTCAATTAGGTGTAACTTATTATTTATCAACAAAAATTTTATCGTTTTCTCAAAAAAAAAAAAAAAAAAAAAGAAAAAAAAAAGGGAGGTTTATTGTCACAAAGCAAATCCACTGTTTTTTTTTTTTTTAGGAAAACTAATGAAAATTGTTTGAAAACTTTGAGTTTTAATGATAAAGACAAAATAAATGATAAAGTGAATAGTAACAGGTTTGATTTTTTTAGTGTAAAAATTTAATTTTTCGTTAAAATGAACAATATCGTGTGCTTTTCGTTAAAACTTTTTTTTTTTTTTTTTTTCCAATTCAACTTCGACTGTTCAATTCAACATAATTACATCATATTTTTTACCCATAAGATTTATCAAATTTAATTAATTAATTTATCCATGGAGGGGCCTTTGGATTTTTACTTATTTTAAAGTGACAGCTATAACTTACAAGTTTGATAGATACCCCCATTTTTAGGTTATCTTGCTTTCTGTCTATCTCTTTCTCATTTTTAGGGCTTTCTCTCTCCTCTCTCCTCTCTCCTCTTTCCTATCTCTATCTCAGAAGTTTCTCTCTCTCCTTCTCTCTCAGGTTTCTCTCTCCTCTCTCCTCTCTCTTCCCTCTCTCTCTCTCCAGAAGGGCAAAACCCTAAAGAGCCGTTTACACCCACCCAAGTAAGTTTTCTCTCTCCTCTCTCCTTGCTCCTCTCTCACTGTCTCTCTTTCTCTTTCTAAATTTTGAATATATGGGTCCTTATACTATTAACCTGCCATTTACATTCTTATGCATATTTATTTATTTGAAAGCTTCAAACTTTATTATGAATTTGTTATTTTTTCTCCTTATTATGCCCAGATCTCAGATCCCAATTTCTCAGATTAGGAAACCCTAATTTGTTGTGTTTTCTTTTGGATGGAAATTCAGATCTGGGTGTTGGTCTGTTTACTTGGGTTCTGTTTGGTTGCTGAGAAAGTGTATGAAATGCACAGAATTTTTTATCCTGGGATTCGCATGTTTATTGATTCGGATTGGAGGGATTTCACTTTTTTAGAACTAAGCCATTGGATGAAAATATGTGCATACTCATTACCAATTGCATGTTTGCAGTTAAATTTTTGTTCTTTTAGATCTGAAAGTATGGGGATTAGGAAAGATCAATAAGATTTGTAACTTTGTAATTTCCTTCTTGTTCTCAGCTATCAAAAAATTGCTTAATCTTTAATTTAATGGGAAGATCCAATATTTGGCAGATGATATTGTTTATAATTTTGCCTCATAGTTCCTCATTTGTGATTGGATTGAGCTATATGCTTTCTTTCTCTATCTGTTTGTGTTTTTGTATTCTTGCTATCCTGTTGTTTTCGATTTCTCTGGCCTCGGAGGGCTAGACGGTGGTAAGTTTTAATGTTGTTCAAAGGCTTTCATTAGAGGGCCTATGCGAGACTAAACAATGTTTGTTTGTCTTGCTGAACTGTAGCTCTCATGGATGATGATGCATTGAACATGCGCAATTGGGGTTACTATGAGCCATCGTTTAAAGGTCATCTTAGCCTGCAGCTCATGTCAAGCATGGCAGAGCGCGACATTAAACCTTTTGCCCCTGGGCGCGATCCTGCAGTCATGGTTAGTGCCAATGGAGCCTATCACCCTCGGGATTGTGTTGTATCAGACGCTCAGCTTCCAATGAACTATATGAGGGAGAGTTGGGTAAACCAGCGAGATAAATTTCTCAATATGATGCCTGCCAATCCCAACTATGCTGCTGTTCTTCCGGAAACTTCAGGAGCTCATTCCTTGCAGATCTTACAGCCACCGGAAGCATCAAGGGATGAGCGGGTGGGTAGGATGGAAGAGCCAGTTGTCCCTAAGGAAGGTGGCACCTCAAAGAAAAGACAGGGTGGGGGTGCACCAAAAGCCCCAAAAGTGAAAAAGCCCAGGAAGCCTAAGGATAATGCCAATCCTTCAGTTCCTCGTGTGAAGCCAGCAAAGAAGAGTTTGGATGTTGTGATAAATGGGATTAATATGGATATCTCTGGTATTCCAATTCCTGTCTGCTCGTGCACTGGAGCTGCACAACAGTGTTATAGGTGGGGGTGTGGTGGTTGGCAATCTGCTTGTTGCACCACAAATGTATCTATGTATCCTCTGCCAATGAGTACCAAGCGACGCGGGGCAAGAATAGCTGGAAGAAAAATGAGTCAGGGTGCCTTCAAGAAGGTGTTGGAGAAGCTTGCAGCTGAAGGTTATAATTTTGCTAACCCAATTGATCTAAGGTTTCACTGGGCAAAACATGGTACTAACAAGTTCGTCACTCTCAGGTAGAGTTACTACGTTGGTAACCATTAATGGGACTTACATTGCATTTGGTCTATTTCATCTGTATATATTTATGTGGCCTTTTGCAGAGATCTTTCAGATACTTTGTAGTCATTTAATTTTCAGTCAGGATGGTGATACTTGTTCTTAAAACTTGGAATTGTTCTTTTTGTTAATTTTTTCCTTTCGGCTTCTGTTAAGGGCTGACTTCTCTGGCCACCAGGATTATGTGGATGAGTTGTTATTTATTGAATTGTTTTTGGTTAGGATTCAATCTCCATTTAATCTAATGTTCGCAATATTTGGCACTGAATGCTCCTTTTTTTCTTATTAATCTGTTGTTGTCCAAAGTATAGTGTTCAATGTGAATTGCATCTCTGGCTTATAACTACTTTGTTATCGCTTTTTAGTTTTTATACTCTTGGTTTTGCCTAGTTTGATAAGTTTCAATATTTGGGTGTTTCAAGCGTTGTGCTCATACATCATGTATGTTTTCGGTCGGAGAGGAAAGTTTTGTATGAGAAAAATTGGAACTAGAGAAGTGACAGGTTTAGGAAAGGAATTTAGAGTCTAATACGTGGACGTTGCTGTGTGTCTTCCATGTCTTTTACTTTGTTCTAACGTTGACGATTGCCTTAAGGAGGAAACTGAGAGTTCAATCAGAGGTTCATCGATAGTACTGTTGTCTTGCGGAACCTAGTTGAGGTAGTACATCAAAAGATTACAAGTAGATGGAGAGACCATTTACAAGCAATCCTCAACTAGAATATCCAAAATGAAGTTAGGTGGACTTGGTAGCCATTCGCAGGGGAGCCAATAGACAAGCTGAACCGAATTAGTTGATGGGTAACTGTCTTTGCTTGGCGATGAACATGGAACACAAATCTTCGGAAGAAAAGCCTGTGTATCCTCCACTAACTTGCCGATGGATGAACAGTTAGGAGAATGATACTGCTAGCGCTCTCACAATCTGAAGAGAATCACCTTTGATTACTAGATTTTTAGAACCCCTTGTCGCCGCCCAAACCACACCCCCCCTGGATGCCAAGGCTTCTGCGTGGAGACGGGATGAGACATTCTGAAAGTTCCGACAGGCCAGCGCCACAAGGATCCCTGCGTCATCTCTCACAATGATGCCCACACCTCCCAAATCTTTTTGGAGTGATGTCAATGAGATGAGTTTATGTGAGATCAGGACATGTATGAAGTGTCTCTGCGTTGTACTTGAAGCTGGACTTTGGAGGTTCAGCGTATACAAATGTGGCGGTCAATAACGAAAGTGAAGGGATTAAGACTTGGTTTGGTACTGAGGTGATTCTGAAAAAAGCTGGTATCAAAAAAAGCTGGGAGCTGTTTTTGTGTTTGGTAAACATTCAGTTTCAGTCTTTTTTTCACAGTTTTGGGTGAAAAAAAGCCAAAAACAAGAAGCTGCAAAACCCAGCTTTGAAAAATCGGTTTTTTTTCACATCTGTTTTACATAAAAGTTTACCAAACATTATAATACTATTTTTTTCTTGCAAAAGCACTTTTACAAAAAAGTTTACCAAACACTCTGCTGCTTTATTTCACAGCCGCTTATTCTCACAGCACAGCAGAATTAGCTTTTTTTAAAGCACAACAATACCAAACCAGCCCTAAGGTGCAAACATTATGAAATCTGGTGGCAATTAACGTCACAGTGACAGTGTAGATGTTTTGTTTAGACAGGAAAGATTACTGGCCATGAACTGAGCCAAAAGCACAGGCAACGGCTCGAAACTTTTCTTGACTTTTCGTGTTGCTAAAATAGCGAGTGTGCATTTCAAATTCAATGAATGTTTATCCCACTTTCACCCTAGAAAACTCAAATTCCGCTATTTAACTTCTTAGAACTCGATTGTTGCTCCACGTTGTCTTTACCGTCTGGTCTGTAAATTTGCTGAGTGGCGTGAAGATTGCTTATGTGGCGTCAATGTGGCAGAAAGGAAAGTATTTTGGTCAAAACATAGGAAAAAAAAATACACAAATTCCATCTACTCCCCGTGCCTTCTTCGGTCCTTCACCTCTATCTTCTTTCTAGATGATAATTCTAACCGTTAAACTCGATAACCATAAATAAGAGTCTGAATAGGTTAGATTTGAGTATGAAATTTAGGATAAATTTTGCATACGAGAAAAAAACGTGAATATTATTCGATTATGATTTCGAATATAGTTATAGGGATCCCAAATCCATATTTATACTTGAATCAGAATCGAATAATATATAATATTAAAGTATTATATAATATATTTATATTCATTATTCACTGATTACCTTGAAAATACAAAATTGTGTTAGTTGCATTAATTTGTCAAGAAGCAAGGTCCACTTTCCGCCTGACCTCTCCATTTTTTTACTTCAGAACAATTTTATTTTACATCTCAAGCAAAACCATCCCTACCATTGCAGGTGGTTGGTCATCTCATTAAGTTTTTGTAGGACCTTCTGGGTTTCCTGGGTGCTGGCGGTTGTGATGTCGAAGGATATAAAATTTTGTTGGCTCTGTTTTTTTCCGATGTGGGCAGTGTTCTTCAGAAGCATTAATTTGGACTCAATATTTAATTCGATTTGGTCCCAGCTAGAGCAGTGCAGGCTCTGAACTTGAACATTGGAGTGGTGGCTATGGTGGTTGGTCCGAGTATCGATCAATATCGACGAGACTACAAATCGTATATTCGACAAAATCTCAAAATATTGTCAATGATTCAACAATTGGGATTTGTATCTTCATCATTTCGACCAATTTCTAAATATAATAACAACACCAGAAGAAATTAGTATAATATATAGACTATAGTTCCTACATATTCCAGTTAATAATTCACAGATGGCATACTTGCACATACATAATCTCAATTCGTCAAATTAATATGATGATTAACAAGTAAAACAAAAAAAAAAAAAAGAATCACGAAGAAATCAAGCTCAAAAAATTAATCTACAACAGTAAGGCTCAAGGGGGAAGGATATAAGATCCACAAAAATTGGGAGAACATGTTTGATGAATTAAGCTGCGCACGGGAACAAGGGAATTAATCAAACTCTTTGCAACGTTTTTAACCAACAACAAGAACAACAATAATTCTAGTCAGAAACTAATCAAATCCGGAAGAACTTGGTGGTTATGTGCAGCATGTACAGGATGATGATACGGTATTATATTTTTCGACGACGGCGCAAAAGGGTTTCTATATTGTCCTTGTACCCCGACCCCGATAGCACTATTGGTCGTAGTATTGTAGTTGTATCCGCTCACATCCGAGAAACCTGATGTATCTGCGCTCACCCAGCTGATTAAATCCTCTTCAAACACCTCCCATTTGTCCGTAATTATCGTCTTGGATTTCTTCGACGTCGGATTCTGCATGGCCACGATCGCCTTATTGTCCTCCACTTTCTGAGCCGCTGCCATCCGATCGCATTCCACGAAGCTTTCCTCCATTTTTGACGCTTGGTTGATTATCCGTTCCAGGTCTCTGATGTCCTCTTCCGGAATCTGTTCGACTTTAGGACAATCCGCCGTGCTGAGGATGCCCATATCCATGCAGTATTCGAGGTATACAGAGAGCTCCTCCCCTTGAACCGCCGCCTTCTGAACAACCCCGAGCGCCATCTGCGCCTCCTGTTTGCCTGGCGATGCGTAAATCCTCAACAGCGCTCCGGCAATCCCTTTGCAGACTCTGCTGTACACGTCGAAGATCTCCGTCAGTAAACATATCATTGCTTCGGAAATAAGATAAACCTTGTTGTTATTGTATGTGTGATTATTAGTGCGATGCGGACTGATCGCTTCGGGCTTGATCTCGAGGAGCATATCAAGCAACGACTGCCACTTTTGCAACCGCCCGAGCTCCTCCAGCAGAGGCGGCTCCTCCTGATCGGATTTTCTATTGTTCTTCTTCACCAACGTGCTCAAAAACGCGGATCTCTGGTCCAAGTAATTAAAATACGCGCGAACAAACGCGTCGTAGGCCCACGTTTTGCTGGGCTTAGAATGTTTGTCGCAGAAGTTGGAAAGGTCGAACGGCAGACGCCCGATCTTTTGGACGGAGGGGATTTTGCAGCAGAAAATGCCGTGCATGAGCATTAGGCCTTTGAGGGCGACGACCCAAGAGCGAGTTTTCTCCATGCGCGTGGATAGCGCGTAAAGGAGGGGCTTGAGGTAGAGCGGAGAGGTTCGGACCCATTGGTACACCCTGTGGAAATTCTTATAATCGACGGTGGTCTCGTCGTGGCTGGTGGCTTTGATGATGATGGCCTCCAAATCAGGGTTGCGGAGCGACGTCCGCCGTGAGATGACGGCCACCCAGATGCTGTTCCGGTCTTTGATTAGCCCGGCAGCCTTTTTCCACAGTTTCATTTCCCCCCTCTCTCTAGATCTCCCCTCTCTCTCTCTCTAATTCTAATTGGTCACCAGCACCTTCTCATGCAAACCCTCCTTTCCCTTGTTTTAGCACTCTAATTACATTGTTTTTTGTTTTTTCAATTTTCCAATTTGGACATTTGGGGATGGGAGGATTTGGACAGCCTATGGCTATATTCGGGAGGTGAGTAAATCGGGAACATCTTTTTTAAGTGATTTTTTTGTTGAGTTTTGTTTTGTGATTATTGGACTTGTTTCAAAGGTAGGCTATGCTTCTCACACGTTGATTAACGCGCTTCTATTTTCAAGAGAAAACAGTATACTATATATATACCCCAATAGGCCAGAGGGGCTTCACTATGATATGAACCATGATGATGATGAATGACTGGAATTAAATATTTTAGAATGGCCATATAACGATTAGATCATTAGTCAAGGATTCAATAATTAAGGATTTAACGACTACGGATCTCTTAATTAGTATGCTAGACAAACTCGCTTATAATAATGTTATTTAGACGTACTGATTATGACCACCTCTCTAATACAGGTTAAGGAAATCATTACTTGTGAGATCTATATGTATTAAAAAGGTAGTCTCCAATGTGATTAGTTTTGTTTGTGTAAATGTCTTTGATGAGTAGCTTGAGCTTAAAAATTCAATAATATTTATGTAAGTCAACAAATGGTAAGATTATGCACATGCATGTGACAAAGCCTGATTGAAAGTAGTAGATGAGACAACAAAGTCTTCTAACGATCACGCTGTAGATACACTCTGTGTTTCGTGGAGGGGACTGCATAATGTATTGCAATTTGCGTTGAATGAACAAATTAGGGTTCACTGCATTTTACACCACAAGATTTGAGTTATTTGCGAACTGAGCTACGAGGTTTAAATTTTTGCATTTTAAATCACGTTTTTTTAATTGTACCAATTTAACATCTTCGTCAATTTCACCGTCTAATTAGACGTTAAGTGCTAATGTGGTATATATCGGTGTAATTTAAAACTCACGTACGTAGTGATGACTCTCAAATCTTAGGATGTAAAATGCAGGTAACCCAACAAATTAATTGAGCACCTACAAAAAAAATATCTTAAACCTTTGGTCTGTGTGAATGTAAGTGTGAGTATGAGTTTTTTTTTTTTTTTTTTTTTTTTGAACTGATTTTAGTTTTTCTTTCCTCCAACTATTCTACAGCCTCATCTGTCTCTCTCATGCATTTCCTGGCTAGCTGCTTAAGTTCTGCAGAGAGGTACTACAGTAGAAAATGTCCCTAAAAGCAACAAAGTGAATGGGAGAAGAAAAGAGAAAGGGAGCTGCAATTAAGGGCAGGTCCCAAACCCAATAAAGAAAAGAAAAAAAGGGTTCAACTAAAGTAGCTCAGGAAATCCAAAAAAGACGAAAATGGTGGGAATCTTCATTCCACTGTGCAAATCATCCCACAGCGCCACCTCTCTTACTCCTCCTACTTTTCATACTTTCAGCTTTCTCTTCATTTCTTCTCCTCTCTCTCTCTCTCTCTCTCTCTCTCTCTCTCACAGATCTTCTCAGTTTCTGGCATGCAACAACACTACTATGAACAACATCTCTATGGGGTTTTCATGTGGGGATGATTTTGTAAGTCCTCTTTTTCCTCTCTCTCACACACACACTTTTCCATGGGAAATGATTTTGATCCGCAGTCCGCACTCATTTTCTCCTTCTGCGCAGACTTGTTTAGTGTGCGGAAATCACTTCCTTTTTTTGTCCTTTCCTGGAGTAGTACTCGTTGACATGGTTGTTTAATTAGGACGGAGAGGAAGGCAAAGCTCCACTTTTATATGAAACGAGGGAGAACCAGCACAGCAGCAGCGGGTGCATGGATGGTCACAATCATCATCATCATCATATGCAGGTTGAAGTCGACTACGAGTTTTGGCCGGTAGAACATCCTCTCGAGCCACCGGATGAAGATCGCCCTGTCAAATGCCCAATGCCCGACTCTTCTGTCATTAATGTGAGAAAGTAATTCGATCAATTTCGTTTCAGCATCCATGAAAATTTTCATCTTATATGTAAAATATCATGAACGTTTTCTTGTCTTGAATAATACAATTTAGCGAGAAATTTCGGGTTCAACCCACTTGAACGATGAGTTCAAAACTCACTTGAATGACGAGTTCAAAACTTACTTAGTACACTTTGTCATTGTGTGACAAGCTAAAATCGTCCACCCGTTAGAATGTATAGTCTCGAAAAAAAAAGAAAAAAGACGTTTTTTCATCTGATTAATTCCTTGTTCTTATTATGTTTTTGTTTTGTGTAGATCTTGATGTTATTTTGTTGCTCGAATACATGTACTGAATGGAATTTCTATACAATAAAAAGCAAAAAGTTGAGGCATGTATTTAACCTCTGGCAGTGTTATATATGCAGATTGATTTTGTCTCATGTAAAATGCGTTTACAGGAAGGAGGAAGGAAGGAGAAAAGGTTTTCAGAGACCAGTAGCATGCGTAAAAGAACAGAAGCATCATCTGCGGCTGCAGCAGCTTATAGCAATCAAGGGTTAACGGATCAGACGGTAGTGGCAGTGGAAACGCCGCCTCCTGCTCGACCGGTGCGTAAGAGGCACCACCATACTCTCACCCGCGGCGACCATATGATATCACCTCTACGGAGAATGCCACCTCTTCCTTCTCTCCCAACTCAGAGCATCACTGTCTTTCAAATGCTCCAGCAGTTCGACAAGTTCGACTCTTGAATGAAATCAAACCCAGTTTTTGTTATCATTCAGTCACGAGAAGATGGACCTCTTGATCACATATATTGTTGCTTCTAGTGTTTCTCACTTATTTTAATGGAAACTGATTTCCGCACACTTGCTCACCTCTCTCGAAGACTCTTTATTTTTGTCTGTTGATTTTTTTTTTTGTTTATTCAATCCGAAGACCGAACAAAACAGAAGGTGTGCATGCAGAGGAAAGAGATTGCGGAAATCAGTTTCCTGTTTCAAAGGAAAAGGCATAGAATATGATCAATTTCATTATAAAAATCAGGTCCTTGATATAGTAGTATCTGAAAAGAAACAGATATGAAAAAACCGGAGAGGAAAAAAAGCAAGTTCACCGTCTCCCACGGAGAGTTCCCAGTACAATATCGCGGCAAGGTTAACCACGTTCATCTTTTCTACATCTTCCCGTCCCTTTTCCACATTCATTTCACAATTAGCAGCCTGCAAAACACTGATACCTGTGAAGTACATTTGGATAGTCGCGCTCCGGTTTCTGAACAAAATTTCATTCAAAAAGTGATATACATAGTGCAACTCCCATGCCAAGTATCAATGCAGTTAATTGTACAGCCGTGCTTTTCAACGATGAGCCGCCGTTGCTGTTCATTTCAGCAAGCACTCCAGCAACAGCAATGTATATAAATCCACCAGCTGTAAAGCCCTGAAAAGAGATTCAACAAAGTAAAAAGATGTTTAATTCCGATCATGCAAGCCGAAGATGAACCGAATGTTTAATGCAGAACATTCTCGGGCTAGACTCTTGTCACCTCAATCAAAGATGACTGTCCTGCATTCTGTCCCAAAATCAGAGCCTGCATCAATAGCAACGGATTACTCTCGTTTCAATTATCAAAGATACCAACTAAAATGGATATAACCCTACAACAAAGACAATACTTTTTTTTTTTTTGGTGAACCAATAAAGACAATACTTTACCATTGCGGTTCCAAGTAGTGCCACAAGTGCTGAGAGAAAGTTGAAGAGCAGAGCTTTAGATACGCTGAAACCAGACCTTACGAGAATACCAAAATCACCGACCTGAAACAAAGGTAAACCAAGCTATAAACCTCGCAAGAACTAAAACAACAAGAAGACTGATTAAATGAGACTGTTTAGCCAGCCAGCCTATCAAGACTGCCTCTTTGACGTAGGAAGATGTTGATGGTTAAAATGCAGACCATTACATATTAACGAACAACAGAGAGAACTCAAACCTCTTGGGGAATCTCATGCGCAAGCAAGAATAGAGTTCTAGACCACCCACCAACAGATCCATGAAGCAGGAATGCACTCCCTAAAGCCATCCCATCTGTAAAATTGTGCTGCAGTGGCAATACAAATCTTTCAGTAAATAATCTCTATCATGAACCGCATTTTGTTTAAAGAAATACAAGCTTGATTGCAAACAAGAAGTCACATACAACACCATCCGAGAAGAGATTGAGATAGCCAAACACAAGATTTGAGGGTGACTGAGTAGTTTCCCCTTTTGCGGACTTGGCCTCAGAAGTGGAATCATTTGCAGGATCTACATCTGTTTATCATCACTCCCACCAGTCCTAGTGTTTCTCTGCGTGATGTAAATATAGCAATACTTAAACTGCAGTCTAGTATTTAAAATGTAATCAACAAAATTAGCTTGGGTGCAGAAATCAGATATAAGTAAGATTCATTCAAGATGCATATAAGCCAGCAGATGTCAAGTCTATGGCCAACATTAAATGAAGATGAACACACACTCTGAAAAACCAATAAGCCAATTAACTGCTTACCTTACGAATATGAGAGTCCTGTTGAGTATTTTCGATCAAAGAATCGTTTAAACCATCAGATGCCACTTCTCCGTCAGATGTCTTCAGCTTCCATTCTATCTTTTCCATTGGAAGATTCTGAATGCAAGTCATCGTGAGAATCATTATCATCCTTCAGTTTCTTGCTGTTCATATGATGATGGTGATGATGACCATGACTCCATGAATTAGTTCCTCCAGAGTTTTCCTCAACATACCTCACTGTCTTTTCTACCAGAAGAAATAATACAATTCCCGCTGCAACAACCAATGTAGTACAATTAAAATTCAACTAAAACCCAATCAGCAAGGACATTAACAATGATCGGGTTAAATAAAAAGCTCAAAGAAACCAAAAACACCAGAAAACGAAGGAAGGGGTTACAGCCTACAGTCATATAGAAGAAGTGATGTGCAAGTAGAAACATTCAAGCACACAGAAACATACATCACATGTACCTGCCCTCAAACACCCACACAAATACAAATCATGCAGGCACAAAGGATGGTTAAGACAGCATGCAGAACATAGATCAGAACTAACCCAGGACAGATAATCCTACTGAAAGATCTTCCAAAGAATGCGAATGTGAATGCTCATGCGAATGAGAATGGGAATGGCCTTCATGGTGGTCATGTGAGTCAGAGTGCCCTCCTCCTGCAATTATATAAGATTCCGGTTCAACTGCTAATAAATATAAAAGACAAGCATCTTACACATTATCATTTATTAAGAAATTATACATTTTCGATTAAGGAAATTGAAGAGTTCACTTACACACATCATAATAATTTAAAGCTTTGGATCGTTATATGCTCTTCGTAAATTAAGATATAAGAACTTAAGACATAACCAAATCCTTAAAACATCAGATTAGATTAGGTGGCAAAAGATTATATGGGAATAGATTTGTACAGTGTGTAAAGATGAACTAAAAGCTGCAAATCAATGCAGGCATCATAAACTAGTCTCCGATTATTGTCTTACCAAAAGCATGCGGTAATTGATGAAGAAAAGCATCCCCCAACATTGCTCCAGCCTGCAAGTGAAGTACAAATTAAATTATCAAGTTAAAGTTCCCATCCACATGCTCCAACAATCTATATTGTAGGATACTTAAACCAGGCTAGGCATTGACTTTGAGATACTATTTAATTTCAATTCAAGAGCTACTCCAATGGTAGAAGTTCTGTAAAATTATCGACGGCATACTTAGAGTATACATATCAAATTGGTACTAAAGAGATGCAAACCATATACAATTTGATTAGATTTAAAAACTAGATAAACAGGTCAGAAGAATCTGACCCCAAATATAGCCAACGAATCAACAACTGCCTTGGATGGTTTCCCCTGTACTGCAATAAGCAATAAATTCAGTCCTGATCATTGGTACAGGGCTTCTTGAAGCAAAAGTCATCGCCAACGTCAATAAAAAGATTATGTAACTTACAATTGAGTCACTTACCGAACATCACTGGCAAGATAATCAGGCAGATAAGGGAGGCCATGCTCACCAAAAGCGAGCACCCCAAGGACTGAATCCAGAGACCTACAAACGATGAATAGGAATACAGTTCCAGCTCACGCATCTTAGATCAGTTCATTTCGTGTGACACAACAATGCATAAGTAATAGAAAGTATCGGAACTTTAATGTGAAGCAAAAAACATCGCACATCGAAGGTGGAACAAAATAAAACAAGGGTTAAAAAGAGCGAGACTTGTATAACAGTTATTCAGCAACACAATTCGCACTTTCGACCGCCAAAGAAGATTTCAAACCAAACAAGCATTGTGCTTTAACAATCTGTATCAATACCAAAGCAAAAATTTCCCAGCTTTTGCACTCACCACCACCACTGGCTTCTTCAAAATTTCCATTTGTTCAATCCACATACTTAGCAACAAATTATGCACAATTCTGAATAAAACCCAAAAAATTTAGGAAAAATACCAGCAACTGAGAGCTGCAGAGCACCAAAATGCTCGTGATCGTGAAATTCAAATCCGTACAACTTCATGTCCTCTTCCTCGGCCAATTCCTCGGGAAGCTTCGATCTCGGCAGTAATCTATCATCCTCCTCGTCGTGGCCGTGGAGGCTGCCGTGACTGTGGCCGTGGTCATGGTGGTCGTGGTGCGCATGACTGCAACCCTGGTGGTGAGTGTGAGGCTCGTGAGCAGCAGATGCAAGGAACCCAGAAACAAAACTCAGATCCGAACAGAGCCCAACAACCAAAGCAAGAGCAACCAAGACCAAACCTTTCTTACAAAGCGCCATTTTCTGAGAAACCCTAATAATCTTGTCGGTTAAGATGGGGGTTTTATTGTAAATATCGAATTTAAGGTCGGTGGTTGGCGGAGTAGTTGAAGCCCGTCCGTCGGGAGGGAGGGTTTAAGAAGAAGGACGGCGCTTGCAAGTGCCTTCGATGGTCATAACAATAACTGAAACGAAAAAGAGGATGATTATGCCGACTATAATACCGAATGTCACCGCATCCATCCCCGACTCTCTCTCTCTTTCCTTTTTCGGATTTTTTATTTTCTTTTTCTTTTATTTTTGTTCTCGGAATCCCCTAGAGAGACTCTGACAGCGCGGTCGGCTTTCTCTCACTCCACTCTCTCTCTCTCTCTCTCTCTCTCTCTCTTCCACTACTTTATGACAGATTTGAGTTTAAGAAATGCTAAGGCTAACGAGTTCTACGAAATTTACTGTTATGTCCCTTCATATTTTTAATAAAATATTTTTATAATGTTGGTTCGAGAGTTGACGTTAAAATATGAAGTGACAAAAAATTTATAGAGTCCAACTTTTAATAGATTTCCCTTAACATTTCTCATTTGCATTATTCATCCAAATCAAATACAACTTACAGGACAATTGGTGGCAAACCATGGTTATCTACTATTTCCGGAAGCTGAGAAGACTCACAGATACATATTAGTCTCCTTCTGACCACAAGTCTGGCTTCTACACCACCGGCAGGTTTCGAACCCAAGACCTCCAGTTTTTAATTTGAAGAAAATCTCGCAATTCGTCCTTTACCCCTGAACCACCAACTCGTTGCAATGTTTTATTTGAGCCATATCAGTTCTCCATTGTGGATTGTTTGAAACTGCTTTTAAAAGTGATGACAGTGTTTTGAGACAACTAATGTTTTATTTGAGCCATATGAGTTCTCCATTGTGACTTGTTTGAAACTCGCAATGTTTGAAACTGCTTTTAAAAGTGATGACCCGTGTTTTGAAACAACTAAAAACGTTTCTACCATCGCATGTCAGGAAAATTTACGTGTTTACAATCAAAGAACTTCCAACAAAAGCACTTATATGCCAAGTGCTTCTTAAGGAAGCAGTCTCGAACTAGCCATTCTTTACTGTGATTATTTGGTTTCCATTTTTACTATGCGATGGTTGGCAGGAAATTCACAAAATCTCATCTTTCCATTCTACCTTCATTTCATATGGCTTTTATTCAAAATTGATCAATGTCGTCATCAATCCCAGCAATCTAACTTCTGTTTGATGAGAATTCTAAGCTCCGGGGCCGGGCGGCTCTCCTTCGCCTTTGCTTTCCCTTCCCTTCCCGCAGAGCAGCATGAACTACTAAAGATTCTACAAACAGGCATCTCCAATCAAAACATACTAAAGATTCACCCACATGAAATGGAATGGTAGCCACCGGAGCGACGAGCCAATATTTACACACACGAAAACCAACCGTGAAACACAAACACAAGCACAATCCACAATTATACGAAATGGCAAACCACTCTAATATAACACTTCAGTTGCTCTCTTATTGCTCTCTTATATTGACAAGCAAAGACTTCTAAGTTAAACAAGGGGTAATTCCAAGACTACGAGTACTAATTACCTAGGCAGTAGGCAGAGTCACTTCCCATGTAAATCCTAACAAATTGCAATCATAAAACTAGTAGTGTACAACTCCCTCCGTATTCACAAGGTTTCTGCTGCTTTTAGTGAGTGTAAGTTCATCTAGCTTGTAACAGCTGCTGCCTGTTCCTGCACCAAATTCCACGTCTAAATCAAATAAGTCGAGCACAAGATTCATCGGAACTTGGGGACTACGGCTTAACATGATATAAACAGTGGGTAAATTAAGTTGATGGTAGCACTACGTACCATTTTCAGTATTTAAGATCAATCATGAGGGGGGGAGCCCAGCACAGAACCACAAACAGACGTGGAATATGACATTGTATCTTCTTTTGGTATGGACACAAAGTTCAGGGGCGTAGTAGACATTCTTCTCATTTCCTTGAAATATCCATTTTGGCGCCCAGAGTACGATCGAGGTGTCAAGAGCTCAGGAGTTCCACTGCCAACTGAGTTCCGACGAGGAGTAGGAGGCACAGATCCATTCCCATTTGAACGATATCCATTTGGCTTCCTAAAGCTGGTGCTTTTCCTAGGACTAGGTTTGGACCCATACATGGCTTCTTTCTCTGTGAGGAGCAGATCTTGGAGCTTCTTTTGGTTCTATAAATGGAAAGAATGTTAAAGACATCGTCCATATGACCACTTTTTTTTTTCGGTAACTCATTTCAAAGCATTGTTAAGCCATAATTAAACAAAACCAATTTCTAAATTCATTTGGATAATCTACTTTATTGTCATATCATTTGATAACAATTCACAACAGTTTAGATAAATTACCCTAGATTTTTTCTTATCCTCTTCTTTCTGCCGCCTGCTCACTTTGTAATCCTCCAGTATCGACACCAGTCGTGCCTGCAAATATTGTTACGGAAGTTTAAGATGGCGGACAGCTACACCAAAAACACATCCACGAACTTCTGTTGCAAAAGTAACTCACCCCATCATAAAGAAACAACTTCTTCCTCTCGTCTTCCCAGGCCAGAGTTTTGTGTATCAGATTGTCAACAATTGCTGGAAAGAGAACTTGTTAGCTCTACCGCTGTTACATCCTCAGACAAAGAGGCAAATTCTAAAGAAAATAATACCTGGAATTTTGGTTACAGTCACTCTAGCTCGTTCTGCACGTTTGAGGTTAATATGGGCACCTCTCCCTGCACTGTACCGGTTATCATCCTGGAATTCAATTAACAAATTTTTATAAAATGTGTAAAAACTAGAAGGCATAATAATCAACCACGGAAACTGAAGATGGATTCTTGTTTGTGCATGAATCAAAACTTAAATCCTAATTATGATTCCCTTTCATATCATGGCATGTGGAAAGGCTAACACAACTTCTCAAAGCTTACTTGATTGTAGTCTTCAAGCCAATTTTCCTCTTCACAAGCAAATAGCCACCGGTCTATCCTATCCATTATTTCTTTCCGGCTCATAGCCTCTTCTTTAGCTTTGACTATCTGTGCTTCTATGTTTGCCAGAAGTTCAGAAGGATCTACTAGACCTGAACAAAAACAACAATATTTTTCTATAAGAAACAAAAGACAAAAAACAATATTTATACTGTCTTTCTGTGTCAAGTATATTTAACCTAAGCATCTAATTAACTGGCTTTGAGACAAAGTGAAGTTTCATACCCGAATCTATCAATGCATTTGATTTCTCAGCAGCTGTGCTTATATCAGGTTCAATATGAGCCATTCTGCATACTTCCTCCAGTTCTGCCCTCCTTTTCATAACAAGTTCTTTCATTCTGCTTGCTTTCAATTCAGCGAGTCTCTCCACTTCTGCAGATACCTGTCAAAGAGATGACAAGGAATTTGATGTTCAACTTGCAAAAATTTAAAATTAGAAGATGCGGAGATTGATATTCAACCTGTTCAATAATTTCTGTTGAAAGAACGCCTGGTTCCGTAATTTCTGCTTCTGAAATTCCAAAAATGCGAGTAACCCTTGAAAAGTTACTCCTTTCTTCTTTTGACGAGTCCATCAAATTCCAAAGTTCTAAAAGTGACGCTACAATATCTTTTAGCTGCATTTTGTAACAGGGTTATACTTCAGATTCCAAAGTCACAATCAAAATACATGTACAGTATGATCATCGATTACCTTATTGATTCGAGCTTTTCTTTCAGTTTTCAACTTGAGAATAGTCTGTTCTAGGCCTTCCAATGTGCTGTTGCTGATGTTTGTAGACTGTTCAGTGTTCGCCCTGTGCAAGCTAGGATCCACTTCACTCACAGTGTGGCCAAAATCCAAGCCAAGCACACTGCAAAGAGAATGAACCTCGTTTACATGTCCCAAAACCTTGTTGAGGCGGTCAGACTGCAAGCAAATAAAGTATATTCTACATATCAGAACATATAAAACTGCGGGATAAAGCAATCCATATCATTCCAAGGCATCCAAATGATGCAAACATTTCACGAGGAGTTCAAATTCATATTATCATATAATTACCTTCTCTTTCTGAAGAGTGCGAAGATGTGCTTGATATTCAGTTAGCTTTCTAACTGACAAGTCGTGTTCGTCCAGGGTTAACGAACTGACTGGAGCATTGTTGAGATGATTGTATCCAGATATCTCCCCACTGATCTTCTCAATTTGTGCCTTTATATCTGAAAATTGCTTCATCCTCTCCTCTTTCTTCACTCTTAGATCTTCTAAAAGTGGTGCCACAGATGCAAGTTTTTCTTTCAAAGAATTTGCTCGCTTCTCTCTCTGGATCTGAAGATTTTATTTTAGAATCAGATGAGCAAGTCAAATAGCAGAGGCACATACAACAGGTCGCAGCAATTGGTTAAAAATAATTCATACTTTTGTTATGTGATATTGTGAGACAGAGAACGGAAGTTTCTAAACATTTTGTGAACTCATCGTGGAAACAGAAAAACTGGAAGAAACAAATGAATCACCAAGCGGATAAAGTTTTTACAAATCATTAAATGGCCCAATTGCAAAAGAGAGCAGACATAGGAGGAGAACAAAAAATTCAAGGATGAAGCCAAGAAATGGTCAAAAGATTATCATTACCAAAATGACAAAGTTCCAATGGATTCCTTACCGGTGAATTAATATTAAGTTCCCCCAGAGAAGCCATGAGAGTTGCAAGCTCAGCTTCTTTGGCTGCAACAGACTGATGAAGGCGTGCCTTGGCATTGGCAGCTTCGTCAACCTTTCTCCTGTAAACATCTAAGCATTCCCTCTCCAACTCTAACAACATGCGGTCTTGGTCTGCTATGCTCTCACCAATGTCATTCCATATTTGCTGCACTCATTGAAAAAGCCATACACAAAATCAATTACTGTGGAAACACGACTCAGTGGTTTGCAGTATCTTTCTCATTTTTAACAGGGAGAGAATAAGAAACTTGCAACACAGACTGGGGTCACGAACATCTTATTGACACAAAGTAACCAAATGCTAAGAGGTAAAGCAAATTCAATCAGAAAAACGAAACATCACACACCACACATGCTTCTCTTCCTCCCGTGAATTATTCATCATAAAAAAATTGCAGAGTAGAAGCAGATGAGAAAGTTAAAATCCAAAATTCAGATGGAGAAAGAAACAAATTTAACTATGGAAACTTGAAAGCAAAGTCCATAACCAGAAGTTCTATCTACTGCATTCCCTCTAACTGCCATCCCTGGTAACAATACCAGAGTCTAACACCAATCCAAATTAGGAAGAACCAAAAGACAGTCAACTCTCATGCGCTCATACCCCTCCTAATGCACAACCATTTACGAAAAAAGCTACAAACAAGTTAACAGAACCCTGGTCTAAAAAATCCCAATAGAATAAAGATTACAAAATAAACATATGGTTCTGGAACTATATAATTCAGGAAAACCCCCGCTTTTCAACAGACGAAAAAAGAAAAGAAAAGAAAGAAAATCAGTACAAAACAGATAACCAATCAAATTTGGTATATGATTTTGCAAAGAAATTCAAGAAATTGGAGAAGTCTAGTTGAAGGGAAAAAAATAGAAATATAACATAAAGAATCACTAAATATTCAAACACTATTTTATAGAAACTAGGCTCAATTCACACAGTAAAGAGAAAATGGTAACTGGGTTTCAAAATTACTGTGAACAGATTGCATTTCAGTGGACCTGTTACCCTAAAAAGGTGCAAAGACCTGTACTTTCTTTGTTACTTCAAAGACCCCAAATTTATAGCTCCACTAGGCTCATCATTATTACACATTTTAGAGAATTAATCACTGCTTTCTTTTGACGGAGCAACAAAAACTTAAAAGTTGCTAAAAACCCCAATCATTAAAAGGGCCTAGGTGAAAAGCAAATGTTCAAGCAGCAGTAGCAGAAGAAGAAAAAAGTTGAGGGTTTACCTGAAGTTCCTTGAGTAAAACATTGCAGCTGGCGCTGGTACGGACACCGATGGTAGGACTCCCAAGAGCCAGCATTTTGCACAGATCTCTCTCTCGCTTACTTTCTGTTTCTCTGTCTAGAAAGTGAAGTGAAAAGCAAGTTTCTTGGTGGGTTTTGAAGTAGGCAGAAAAACCAGAGAACCCCAACAAAAATTGTAGCCAAAAGGTTCAAATTTGGAAGACTTACAGACGAGAGAAGAAAGAAGGAAGAGGAGAGAATAGAGAGGGGTTTAATAAGTGCTTTTTTTGTAAGTCAAAAGAGACCAGGAGACCAAGACTCAGTTGGGCATGTCTCCATTGCCTCAAACAACCTGAGTTCTCCTAGATCTGAAGCAATTCTCTTCAGACTTTTGCTGCCAAAGCTTGCTCCTTTAGCTCTTCTTTTCTCTGCTTTTTTCAGATTTTTCAAGAAAATGTGAGAGACCAAGAAGAAGCAAAGGATCTCCGAGATGGGTTTTGAACGGAACGGGAAAACAAAAGAAAAAAATGGGATTAAACAACAACAGGGAGCGAGAGAGAGAGGATTAGAGTAAAAGGTTGAGACTTTAGTGAAAGAAAGAGAAAATTATTGGCAATGGACTTACTATTTAGTAATAACCAGAAAAGAAAACCATCTTTCTCTCTTTATGGGGCTTGAGGTTTGGCTAAAATGCGCCTTGTGTGTAGCAGGTGGACATCAATCATCATCTGCCTAAATATTCTCTCTCCCACTCTCTCTCTTTCTCTCTCTCTCTCTGGAAGTGAGTGTGTGTGAGCTCACAAGTGTCGCTCTCTCCGTCTCTGGAAGTGTGTGAGAGCTCACGGAAAAGGATCGGTGAGAATCCCTTTTACCAAATCCAACAAATCATCTAATTTGAATTTTTAAAATTTAATTCAACGATCGATGTTATTATAATTTTTAAAAAGATTTCATATTTATTGTTGTTGGTCAAATTCAAAAGCACAAATTAATTGATTAAGTGAATTTGATAAGAGAGATGCAGAGATGAACCTTTCCAGAGCTCCCAAGTAGAAAAAGCACTGCATCAGCTTATGCGCGTGGAGTTTACTCTCGAAAACAGAGATGGAAAATTGGGAAATTGAGCGAGAGAAACCCACAGTAATCAACCTCAGTGGTTAGCCGTTTTTTATGGTGATATTTAGCAATTAATTATCTCCTCTTCATTCTATAAAACTAATTAGCTTTTGAGCATATTTATACATAATTTTTTACTTGTTACATATTTTTGTTATTTTTTATTTGTTGATTTTTATCAATTTATTTGATTCAAATATCAAAAATTAAGAAGGGTGTAAGAGAGGTTAAAATGATTGATGTATAGCAATGTCCCTTGAGTAATTAATCTGCAACTGTTCTTATACATATGAAAATGATGTATGCTGTATTGGGTTGCTCAGCACCAGACTTCTTATCTTCCAATCAAAACAAAGCAAAATAGAAAAGGATGGGAATATTGCTTTTGGGGGTTTTTTTTTTCCCTTGATAATGTAGTTTTCAAGGGTTTGGTTTATAAATTGATGGTTTCACTTTCACCCACAAAAAGAAAACAAGACAAGCACATCTCACGTCTACATGTATATAGCTAATGTCATATTTTTACACTAAAAAGTCAATCCTGATACTATTCATTTTACCCTTTATTTTGTCATTATCGTTAAAACTCAAAGTTTTCAAATCATTTTCATTAGTTTTTCTAAAAAAATAAAACACATCTCATATATATATATATATATATATATATATATATATATAGGCCCTTTATGTAAGGTGATCCCCATTTTTTTCAAAAAATGAGATGTGAGGCTCACTCCACATCGAACTTCAACAATCCGAACCGTCTATTTTGTAAGTCTTGTTTCATAGATCATTCTTACAAAAATTTAATTCAATCCGAAACCATTTGCCTATTTAATTATCAATATAAAATTTCATTGGTTCTTATATAACAAATTATTCGTTAATTTATTTGAACTCAATTAGATGTCTTAAACATTTCCGATTTGGCTAATACTTTGTAAGGATGATCTATGAGGTGCAACTTGAAAAATAAACAGTTCAGATCGTTAAAGTTTGATGTAGTATGGATCTCACTACTAATTCCCATTTTTATAAAAAAATTGGGAATCTCTTCCCTTAAAGATTTCCTCTATATATATATATATACATATATATATATTAAGGCTCAAGAATGTCTCAAGATTGCTGGAACAAACATGGTACGTTAAATCAGGAGAGAAACTCTTGTAAGGTAGTTCCAGTTTCCATTTGGGTATGGATGAGGCACCCATAATTTTTTTTTTTTTTCTTCTTAAACAAGTCTTTAAGTTAAATTTTCACCGAGGAAGAAAATTTAATACGTGCTCCTCAATACTTCATCATGACATCCGAGCTAATAATACGATGACCTATGAAAACATTAAAACGAATATGATCACGCTATTATGCTAAGATGGGGTGTAGGTAATTCATTCCACTCCAAGCCTCGAGGTAATTCATAATTAACCTACGTAATTAGAGTCCCATAGGTTTCTTTTAATTAGCAGAAAACAATACATCAATGGTCGGTACGTCAGAAACACTTACAAGTTCCAACTGCCTTTATTATATGTACTTTGCGATGATATGAGTAATTGTGAGATGGACGCTTGAACTGATCAAGTTCATATGGATGCAACATTTGACATAGACTAAGCTCCAAAGTAAATAAATGAACAAATATTTATTTATCACCAAGGCTTAGGTTTGTTGTTTCACTACATCAAAATCTAAATTCAAGTCTCGTTACTGATAATCTATTTTTATAAACGATTGATGCAATTAGAACTAAACGGAAAAAGTAATTCAATTTAGATGCCTTTTTGTGGCTCCACTGGTGATTAGATGAACACGTTATTATTTTAAGAGAAACTGTAAACTCGATAAAAACTAAGACCTCACTGTAAGTCATAAAAAAATGCTTGTGATATGTTATGGCTCGGGAAAAGGTTATACTGCCCTCCCCACTAAACTTATGATTACCAATAAATAAATATGCAGCAGTTCTATGTAAGTTAAGCCTAAAAATAACATAATTAATTTGCAAATACATAATTAAAGTGCATGTGCATGAGAATGTGGAACACGTGAGCGTGAGGCTGAGACTTGCATCTATGGCCAGGTTAGTTTCGTATTATATTATATCCTCCTATTATCCTATACACATGAAATTTGTTAATCATAAAATGCATGTGTTATTATAAATATATATATATATAATTATACACGAAAATACTTAAAGCAAAATGCTTGTGACTTTCGGGAGCCATATGTCTGCTTTGTTTTTTAAGTTTTTTCATTTGTCTAGAAAAAAGGTCCACGGAATATGATTTTGCAGAAGATGATGATTCTTCAACCAACAAGAAGGAAGGAAACAGAGAGGAGTGAGAAATTAGAGCATTTCACATTGTACGTTGTCATTGTAGTGTCGTATGATAAGGATATCACGTCATACATACAAAAATGTACACATGTAGTTAGAATATTAATATGGGTACAATGGTAGTGTATTCATATTCTCGTACTATGAAAATTTTTTTCGAGAAAAAAAGACATGAAAAAGCTCTGAGTAAACCTTTTACGTAGGCATCTAGCTAATACATTATCAAGTATTTGTATCTAACAAACAAAAAATGATTGACGTTCGATCTTCCTACATAAATACATATTATATCTCAATCAATAAAATTATCCCCTAATAATTATTGAATTATTAGTCGGTTTGGTGGATTAGGTTAGGTCCAAAAGCATTATCATTCGCTTCAAAAAATTTGGTGCTTTTGATTAACAAATAGTTCCAAGTATTATGCTATCCTGTAATGGATGGTGATGGATGCTGTTGGTACCTACCAGCGACCATTCATTTAGCTTGAAAGAATGAAGGAAGTACTGAGCGCATACATGGTACTGCAAGCCAAAGACAAAGGAACTATATAGCTGGCCGTGAAAAATAAAAAACTGGATATGTATTTCATTAATGCCATGCAGGACCCAGCAGTACTGTTTTTCATTATCAATCATAGTCACAGTCACACGACGAAGGAGATGAACTAACCTCCGCTCAAATACGTATGTGCATTATTGTAGCATTCCGAACTAATGATGTATATCATATATCATATGTTTTAACGTTAAGAGTCACAATCACATTATGGAAAAGACGAACTTATCTCCACTTGAATACATATGTCATTGTAGCATTTCAAACTAATAATGCGTATCATATATTTTAACATTCTCACTTAACATTGCACCATTGATTAGGAACGGCATATTAAATGCCATGCCATCTTCTTTACCCTTTTTACCAGGAAATTTCTCATGTTAAGTACTGGTCTCTCCGTGCTACTTGTTTCTCAAACGGGTGGATGATTTCCACAGCTATATCTATATATATAGCAAATTTTTTTTTGAGAACTTTAACGAAAAACTCTCGGTACTGTTTATTTTAATGAAAAATCATATTTTTACACTAAAAAGTCGGTACTGTTCATTTTAACGAAAAACCATATTTTTACACTAAAAAGTCAATCCTGGTACTATTTATTTTACCCTTTATTTTATCCTTATCGTTAAAACTCAAACTCAAAGTTTTCAAACCCTTTTTATTAGTTTTCCTTTTTTTTTTTTTTCCAACTCTCATTACTATTCTTTTACTACTGATGCAATCAAACCCTACTTACACTTTGTCTTTATTCTGAAATGACAAAAAGAGAATTAATTTAGTAGAAAAAATAACAAGATAAATCATGCAGAAGCATTATACATTATAATATATAATCTGTGAAAGTCGTTTTCCATCATTATTTGGTCTACCGATTTGATATATTTAACTTGTTAATTTATATATAACTACCTGCATAATTGCATCATTAAAATAAAGCAGACTAATCATAATTAAAGTGAGAAATTTCTAAAAACTATATACCATTTTGGGAATATATCTACTAACCTACGCTTTTCCCTTTGTAGGGCTGAGCTGCTTTTCCTTTCAAACCCTAATACATCTGTTTACCCGAAAAAGCAAAACCCCAATTCATCTACAACAATTGTGTAGTCGTGTCGGCGCGGGAGCCGTTGAATTAAGAACACAGAGCCCCCAACCCACTAGAGAAAAAAGAAAAAGAGAAAAAAAGTTTGTCATATCTTAAAAGATATGAAAAGTAGGAATATAGTCCAAGCGATCCTGCTGCCCAAATGAAAAATTTTCAGGTGAGACATATGGAATAAAAACAAGGAGAAGAAAAACTTACCAGATGGTCAGAGATTCGTAGAAGGGAGTGATGGTTTTGTATTTGGAGATCGTGAGAGTACTCTGACAAGCTGCTCTATTGAAATTTTTCTCAAACATAAACCTACAAAAATCTAATACTCCAAATATAAAGGAGTATTTGAGCATTTTTCAATCGAAATTTTATCTCAGTCCAAACTTAACGATAACCAAGACTTGCCATATAGAGGAAATATGAAAGAAAAAGTAAAACCAATTGTTGCTATACTAAAATATATTATGTTATATATAAACCAAGCTTCGTTGTTGAAAGAAGAGCAGCATGTGCAGCTGAAACACTATCAAGTATCCAATTATAATGTTCAATTCAATTATTCACACATATGTCCATTTGTAATTAGTTTTTCAACCGCACTTCTTGTTTTTTTTTTCAACAACGAAGCATAATTCTTTATATATCACAACCTTGTCCACATAAAAAGGTGATGAAAAAAAATTATTCATGAGAGACAGTGGGTAGTGGATACCTACCCTTGAAAAAAAAGGGGGTAAGGGAGAATATATATGTCATCATATGGTGGTTGGGTGGGGAAGACTTGTACGATTTTGCACTAAATGAATGCGACTGTAGGTTAGTTGCTTCGATTATTAGCCGACACTATTAATGCTAATTTGGCCCTAAACATCCCTTGACTTGAGGACGATGTCATGGAGGACTTTGTTAAGGACTAATTACACATGATCATTACAAGTTTACAACAGGGCAACGCAAGGACTCAACCATATACATTAAAATCATTAACTCCTCCGATTAGTCTTCTCTTACATTATTAATATCACAATATAACAAGAAGAAAGTTGTGCTAACCGCTCTAAGTTATGTTTTGTCTAGACGTAATGGGATAAAGATGAAGAACCTAATAATCAGAACAATTTACTACTTACGAATCATCGAATCTTTCATTTAATTTCTTAATTTTTGTTGGCTACGTATGTTACGTTATTACTGGATTTGTCGCATGTTTAATATCTATGTATTGGTTTTAGGTAGCCGTCCAGTCGTCACCTACCTACCGCTATGGCGCCTGTAATTTGCTCGCATACAATGATTGGAAAATAGGAGAAATTCATCAATACTTCAGTCCAGGAGTGATAATTATCTTCTTCCTGAATAAAATAAATGTTCAATAAAAACTATTATTAAAGCTCAGAATGTCAACCTTAAGGGGGCCATTATAGTCATTGCATGAATTTGGCTGCCGGAATGAAGTACAGTGCTAAACAAAACAAACAAAAAGGTTACACGTTTATATGAATCGAAATTAAAACTTTTTACTTATGATATCATAAAGTGTTATTAAATGGAATTGAATTTCACAATTCATAGGAAATGCAGAGTGGTTAAAAATACTCAAATGCTCATTGCTCTTGCGGATTGTTATTCTTATCCGAATCCAATCTAACCTTACCAAACAGGACAAGAACAACAGAATTGTAAAGCATGAAACATCACACACTATACTTGACCCCCAATCCAAGCTTTGCTCACCAAGCAAATTTGGTGGGACAAGGGCTTCAAAATTAAAACTTATAAGAGATGGAAGACTCTGATGTACAAAGTAAAATGAGTAACGGAATGAGAGATACGAAAAAGTATATATTACAATTACACTCAAAAATTTCTCGCAAATTAATCCACAAAAAAGCTAGGGGGACAACTTCACACACTAGTTTGGCATCTCCCTTGGTTTCTAATGGACCCCGACAAGACAAGAGAAAAGAGAGAAATTATTGGATTATGATTCTCTTTTCTTTAAATCCCCTTCCTCTTCAATCGCCTCTTATTTGAACGATTATGATGATTAAGTCACATTAACACCTGATGTTAATTTCTTTATAGAAAAAAAAAAAAAAAAAAAAAAACTGGAAGAGAGATTTTAAAAAAGAGAAAATCCCACTCCGTCTCTAAAAATAAAGGCAATTTCCGGATCTCGACTGAAATGTAACATCAAGTGGGCGTGTGGTGGAGCCCACAGAAATGATAGTGTTCAAAAGTAGTTTCTTGTGTGTTAACAGCATACGAATGGCCCAGCGACGTCCATCCCTTATCCTCCTGTTGGTAATTTGGTATTGGATTCCAAGACCAGAAACCTTCAAGTTTTTCAACAAAACGTAACACAACTCAGTAAATCCAAGTATATAACGTAACACACCAGACTAGTTGCCCTGTTCAAAACTCCTATCTAACGACAAGCGTCGAACACGTGCTTCAGAATGTCGGTGACAATATCTAGAACATCCTCTTCATCGCATCTTGTTACAAACTCAACTGCAATCGGAAAAAGTATTTCAATCAGTACCAGTGCTCTCCCTCTGTCACTTCAACACAGGAAAAGAGAAATAAAAAAGAGGATGATAAAGGTGGGGCGTGTAGGGAGGACCAAACAACTGAGATGCTGCAATAGCAGTGTAGAAACACGAAATGGTGAAAAGTACAGAACAAATTGAAAAAAAGAAGTCGAAAACGCATCATTTAAAGCAGGAGTACTACTGATAAAAAATAAAAAAAGAAGCAGGAATTCGGGAAGGACCTAACAATCGAGTACGTAAGAAGAGCATCAAATCTTCGTTGAAAGAAAGACAACAAAATTTGGGAAGGGGGAGTGTAAAGTTTGAAATGGACCCCCTTGGATATATATGATCAACAGATCAAGATCAATGATGTAGCATTGTGTGTCTGGTTAGTTCTACACTTTCTAGCTTTTGGAACTCACTTGTGTGGACAGCCTACCATGCTAGTACGCATGAGAAATATGCACCTCTCTTCAACCACCCTACCACTTAGTCACTCATCTAGCGAGTAGTAAACAAAAACAGAAACCCTACCTACCTAATAGCTAACGCCTATCGAGTCGCAAATGTACGTGCAAGTTAACCATGCTGTACCAGACACACGATGTTTGATATGTTCTAATTACGACATGTCCTCTTAATTTTTTACTTGATATGCTAAGTGCTGTTTTTTAACTTTTTCCTTCCATATTTGAGCTTGCGCTCATGCAGGAAACAATTAATTGTTGTGCAGTGCTTTGTATTGAATCTGTTTCGAACCGGTCTGTGTAAGCGAAATTTCATCTTGCTTCTTCTAAGCCTAGCGTTTGATGTTGAATAATAAAAAAGAAAGAAACTAGCTGCTACATAGTCCATCAACTAGGGAATCCAGATAAGATATTCTGAGATGCAAAGGCAACCAAAGGTAAGATCACCGTCAGAAAGAATATGTTGTCAGCAAGGATTCTATGCAGTTGAAAAATGGCACAATGGACCACAGAAAGTGGGTTTACATCATATGATCAAAAGGCCCACCAAATTGATGATCATATATAGCCGGTGGTCAAGAATCAAGCAAAGCTGTGGAATGGAGATGGGTGGCCTCTTGATCGACTAAGTAGTCATTGTACAACAAGGTGTCAGTCTCCCTCTTCACGTCAGTTTCTCTCATAAGAACTAGGGACCCTGCGACTATTGCTTGGGAGCTCATCACGGCAAGAATAAGGACTCTAAACTCGCGACTTTTTGGTGTGGCCAAATAGTCAAGAATGCGGTTTGAATTAAGGAGGGTCCAGCTCAAAATGCAAGGCTAATAAATCTCTTGCCTAATTGACACGATTTTAGGAGAAGGGAGACCAAAAAGTTGGGTTAAAGGAAGGGAAGCAAATCAAGGGTGCAGCGTATCAGTATCTGACTGAGCTAACAAAGATATTTCACATGACTGAACATTTGTTAGAAATCAGCAGGTCCTAGGATCCCACGTTTTAATACTAAATATGCTATGCATGCTTGCGTCATGGTAGTTAAGGAAACTAGAAATCTTACCCCAAGGAAGAACAGGAAATTCCAGCATCTGTTTAGGAACTGTGATGATATATGAAGCAACCTGCAAAACAACATAAAAAACAAAATTAGAGAACACAAACCAAAGTTAGCGACATTTTACTAGTACTAAGATTCTGTTTTGTCAAGCATGCCAAGATTGATACAGCGAGAGAGCGAGGATTGATGTAGAGCACCGATGTCTCCTGCTTTTCTTTTCATAAAGAACATCTATGATTTCTATGCCTGCTTCAAAGTTCACAACTTCCCCAACTTTTGCCACTCCCCTGAATTCAAAAACACACGAAAGATGTATCAAAGTGAAGCTAGTAATCCTCGAAACAAGAAGATCATGAAAGAAAGAAGCTAATACTAGTACAATGAAAGTAACGAAAGCTTACTTAAATTGGGGCAGAAGCTCTTCAAAGTGTCCAAAAGCAATATTGTTCATGCCAATCTCAAAATTCACTTCCTTTGATAAAGAACTTAGATTACTCTCAGCCGACTAGCACAATACAAAGCAAATAAAAAGAAAGAAAATAAGAGAAATTCCGGAGCTCTAAAACCACCTCCTGTGACATGACCAGCGGAAATGTACAGCACCCGATAAGCAAAAAATTATCGTATGCTTATGTATGTACTTTGCGAAGCCCTTGGCAAAAATAGCACTACATATTAATCGCTTACTGCTTCCAAGTAATCTCAAACGGTGTAGTGTTGTTCCTTGATAATGGTGTCCCTCAATCACTTGAATATCTTCATAGACAAATGTGGAGAGGGGTGTATCTATCGATAAAGCATACAAATGGACATTGATTAGAATCGATTTTGAGAATTTTTACGGGATTCATTATAAGCCAAAATTCAAGTAATTCTAGTCGTGTCATATGTTTTTTGAAATTAATTTAGGACATTCCGAAGATTTTCGACACTTAATAATTTATATATTTTGTTTGTTTTTCAATTTAAAATCTAAAAAAATTGTTTCAAGAGCTAATTAATGGTAGGATCCCATCCACATGTCTTGAAATATTTTCCTTCACTACCACGCAAAAAAAAAAATCCTAAAACTAAAAATTTCAATTTCTCTCAAAAAAAAAAAAAAAAACATTGAGTTATAACTCACGTTTTTCAATCGATTTTGAGAATTTTTACAAGATTCATTATAAGCCAAATTTCGAATCATTCTAGCCGCACCACAAGTTTCCTAAAATTAAATTAGGATATTTCGAAAATTTTCAACACATAAAATTATACTTGGGACCCCTATTAGTTATAGGGCCTTTTGGATCTAGGTCAAACTAGATAGTTTTTGGGACCGAGTCCAGTTATCCAATTACATATTTTGATATCAATTTTACCCTTTCAGATAAAAATATTTAAATTCTTTAATTTTTTTTATCATTTATTCAGTTTTTAAATTTTGAATATTTAAATACTCAAACTAAAATATTATCTAGTAACTACCTACTACTTATGAAGAAAACAAGACCAATATAATCTAGTAACTACCTACCTATTGTATAGGAAGAAAATGTTTTATACCTACAAAGCAGATATAATCTACCTGCAAAACAAAAATAAACTACCTATTGTATTGGAAGAAAAATGCTGGCAACCTACATGGCGGAACATAAAAATATAAATATGATATAATATACCTCCATTAAAGGAACGAATTTGGAGGGAAGAACACAAAAATATCACCCATGAAAAGAAGAGACAAAAAAGAGGAGGATTGATAGAGGGAATTGTTTGGAAGAAGGAAAAAATGAGGGATGAAACATACTGGGGGTTGAGGTGATTATACGGCTATAACTAATCCTACAATTAAGGGATTAGTTAAACCACAAATTATCTCATAATTAAGAAATTTTGTGTTTTACTACAATTCGTAAGCCTAAGGGGTAAATATGGTACAAACCATAAATAAACATATATGGAATCTCAATTATTGGACCTATTTCAATGAAGTGGACTAATTCTACTAATGGCTCACAAAATTGGATCTATATCAAGTTATCCCTAGTTTATATCCATAGGTCTTGCAACATTTTCCTTAACTCCCATACAAAATATTTCCTAAAACTAAAGTTATAATTTTTTCACAAAAATTGTGGGACTCACATTTTCCAATCAATTTTGAAAATTTTACAAAATTCGTTATAAGCCAAAATTCAAGTCATTCTTATCACACCACATGTTTCCTAAAATTACTTTTAGGAAATTTTGAACATTTTCAACACATAAAAATATATTTGGGGGGCCCTATATTAGTTTATTTTATTTTTATTTTTTAACTTTCAAAATTAATTTTGGGGTCTAATAAAATGTAGGATCACATCTAAACATCTTGAACATTTTCCTTAATTCTGCAAAATATTTTCTAAAACTACAATTTTCAATTTTTTTTTCACAAAAATTGTGAGTTATAAACCTACATTTTCTAATTGATTTTGAGAAATTTTACAAGATTCATTATAAGCTAAAATTTGTGTTATTCTAGTCGCGCCACATGTACCAATTAATGGTCAGATCATATCCACAGTTCTTGCAACATTTTCCTTCACTCCGAACAAAATATTTTCTAAAACTAAAAGTTTTTACAATGGGCAAAACCAAAGCTTTTTATTTTTATTTTTTTAAACCATTTCTCTTTCCAAAAAATAATAACCCCTCACTGTAAAACCTGTATAATTTCCCAGAAAATAGTAATACATATCTATGTAGAAATCATGCTCGAGAGTAGTGAAAACCAAGTATATGCCATGTCAAGTATCTCAGCAATAAAATAAGAAAGTCAGGTGAAATAAATCAATGTAATTGATATGTCAGCTGGAGTCACCTAACGTGACCTGTACGGCTGAGTCTATATCTCATATACTAATTTTTGCACACCAGTCGGAACCACATAAATGTGGTCTGTATGACAGATTGGGTGTAAATAAGTACGCTCAAGTGCTACGATCACGTGAAGGCTGTGCAATGAATCGCATGTCACCTACGAGTTGGAACCACCTAATGTGGTCTTTACGACAGGCTGGCACCTAACTTAGATCCAAGTTGAGCGTGCGGTGCAGGAGGTGAACGATCACGTGAAGGCTAAGCCCTGGCCACAGGCGGAGCACTAACACCGGGGTGTAGGATAATGAGCACTAAATGCATCTAAACATAACCATACTCACCATAATCACTATCATCATGATATACTCACCTGAAACTTACCTGGGCCTTCGCAGCATCAACAAATATTATGCATATGTACATATATATATAGAAAACCAAAAGCTCACTCACTTGAGATTCGCGCTATACTCTCTAGCACGAATATCAAAATGTCTCGAATGATCATCACCTAGAACAAATATCAAACCACGTCTCAGAATCCTTACTGATAGAACATGTAATTTACATAAAACACATCCCCAAGGACGTTCTAGAATGATTTAAGACCCATTGACCAAAAGTCAATCGTCGGTCAAAGATCAATGGTAGGGTCTACAACCCTACGTAACTTGATTCGGAAGATCTGCATCTTAGATTTTCAATCCATAACTTCCAAAGATCCACATTATGCTTCTAGAACAACATACTAAAGTTTCATTATGATCTAACAACTGGATCACCGCCAATTGCAAATTCAAGTGGCAATTAACGTTTTATTTTATAAACTTACAATTCCAATTCGGGAGATCCGTACGTCAGATTCTCAATCCGTACTATAATGTATTAAAGTTTTGTGATGATCCAATGGTCGGATCATCGATTGCTATAATGGCCAAGTGGCGAATCTTAACAAAATTTCGCCAGATTCTGCAGATTTTGCAAACTTTTTGGGCAATCTTTGGAACTCCATATCCCACTTGTTTATTAACCAAAATCAACCCATATTATACCAAAACGAAGCTAGAGAAGTCTAGAACAAGATTATATCTTCTTGGAGTCCAAATGGTGGCCGAAGATGGCCAGAAAATGGCCTGAAAGACGGCTGTCGATGGGAAAAACAGGGAAATTCGCCAGAATTTCTGGGCAACCCTTCAACATCCATAACTTTGTCAATACTCAATGAAATTAAGTGATTCAAAAATAGAAATCATATTTCTCGATAATACGAAGAGATTGGTACCTTACACAATGGCTATCTCGTTGTGATTTGGCCGTAAAACACCTCGAAAGTGGTGGAGGTTTCCAGAAACTGGGCAAAATTTAAATCGTTATAACTTTCTCATTTCTCCACCAAATCACACGATCCAAACATAAAAACTCATCTACACAACATGAGGAATCGATTTATACCTGTTTTTACTTCAAAAGATGGCTGGGAATTGTCTGAATCACGCCTAGAAGTCTCGCCCTAAAACCTTGTTCTTCGAACTCTAGGTTAGGATTCGTTTTCAATTAAAAAAAACTCAAAACTGGGTTTATGGTGGTGAAGACATGTAGATAATGGTGGTTTTGATGTTCAACAAGCCGAAATTTTTGGTGATGATGGTGGTTTGTTTCACGGGAGAAAGGGAGAGTTGAGAGAGAGAGAGTTAGAGAGAAGAGCTACGGAAAAAGAAGAAAAAGAAAAAGAGAGAGAGTTCTAGAAAAGTGGGGGTGGCCCCACATGGCAGTCATCCAATGGTCAGACAAAATACCACTTGTGTTTCAAATGGTAAATTACCAAAATACCCTCAACGTTTAAATGTTCGTAGAATCTTCGTTATAACTCCAAATTACATTCCGCTTACACTCACATGTCTGTAGCGACGAGTACTATGAGGATACGCCAAGAAAACGAGTCTTACATGACATGACACAGCAGTCAATAAAAGTCAACGCATTTGCCTCGAAGGGCATTTTCGTAAATTCACTTATTAAAATTATAAAAAACCGTAAAATTGGGAACGGGTCGTTACATCTTGTCAAACCATATGTTTCTTTATATTTTTACAAGAATCATTATAAGTCAAATTTCAAGAATCATTATACTTTTACACATATAATATATTTGGTGGGCCTTCTATTAGTTCATATTTATTTTTCTATTTTTCAACTTCAAAAATTAATAAACATTAGTTTTGGGGCTACTAAATGGTAGGATAATAGTCAAAAGTCTTGCAACATTTTCCTTAACTCCCACTTAAAATATTTTAAAACCAAAAAAATAAAAAACAAATAAGTTTTCACAAAAACTATCACGTTTTCCAATTAATTTAGGAATTTTTATTAAGTCATTATAAGTCAAATTCGAGTCCTTCTCATTGCACCATATGTTTCATAAAATTCATTTTTGACATATAAACTTTATTTGGGGGCCCTGTATTAGTTAATATTTGCTTTACTATTTTTTAACTTTAAAAACAAAAAAATTATAATAATTTTGAGACCTAATAAATTGTAGGTTCACATCCAGAGGTCTTGCAACATTTTAATTAACTCCCATGCAAAATATTTTCTAAAACTAAAAATTTCAATTTTGCACAAAAACTGTGAGTTATAACCCACTTTTTCCAATTGATTTTCAGAATTTATGTAAGCTTGATTTTAAGCCAAAATTTGAGTCATTCTCGTCACACCACTTGGTTCTTAAAATTAATTTTAGGACACCCTGAACATTTTTGACACATAAAAATATATTTGAGGGGTGGGGGCTCTTTTAGTTTATAGTTAGTTTTCTATTTTTCAACTTTAAGGATTAATAAAAGTTAATTTCGGGACCTATCTAATTGCAGGATCACATCCAAATTAAGGTCTTGCAACATTTTCTTTAACTCCCACGCCAAATATTTCTTAAAACTAAAAATAATTAAAAAATAGTGTCATGACCTAATAAATGGGAGGATCACACCTAAATGTCACATCCCGACCCGGGACGGATCACTTCCCGGGCCCACTCCACCACTGTAGCACGATATTGTCCGCTTTGGGCCCCGACCACACCCTCATGGTTTTGTTTCTGGGAATTCACACGAGAACTTCCCGATGGGTCACCCATCCTGGGAATGCTCTTGCGTGCTACTCGCTCAACTTCGGAGTTCCCATGGAACCTGAAGCCAGTGAGCTCCCAAAAGGCCTCGTGCTAGGTAATGATAGGAATATACATATAAGGATCACTCCCTTGGGCGATGTGGGATGTTACAATCCACCTCTTTAGGGGTCCGACGTCCTCGTCGGCACACACGCGACCAGGGTTAGGCTCTGATACCAAATTGTCACATCCCGACCCGGGACGGATCATTTTCCGGGCCCACTCCACCACCGTAGCACGATATTGTCC